CCGGAAACAGTTGACAAGAATGTTGGGTAGTTTTTGCGGTTCATCAAAGATTGAAACAAAAACGAATAGTTGAGTTGGAATACTTACAACAGCACCACAAACAACAAGAACAGACCTTTCCATTCTCGACCAAAATATATCATATATAACATATAACCAATCTCGATTATCCGCCGAAACAGATTCCATTGGGCGTAAAAGACAAAATGATATCAATGGATCACTGTAGTTCAGTGATGACACCAGGCTTTCGCAAAAAGGGTAAGCATGCCCTGCCCTACCGGTTGCACACACCACTTTCTAAAAAAAGGGAAAGCGTCTGTTTGTTCCCTAACGCCGCACAGCAGCACGGACTGTGAAATGTTCGAAATTCACGTCCCTAATTAGCAGAACCCTCAAGGAGAATTCGATAATTCACACTTCATGCATTAACAACTTTTTTTTTACATAGACACAAGCACTCGAAAAATAATTTTGTTGTGAAAAAATTAATTCGGCTCCTAGTTTCAATGACAAATGTTGATATATGGAAGTAGAAAGTATTCCTTCTGTAGCAAAAATCCCATGCTTAATTTGTCAGACGGGTTTACATCGGAGGCTGCTCATTGATGAACTAAAAAAACGTGGGCTACTTCACATGTATCACATCAAGGTGAATGATCCTTGGAAAGAATGTATTCCCCTTTCCTTCATTCATTTGTGAACTTCATGGAACGTATAGCCATTGCCGCTGGCTACTTTCAGCAGCTTGTACGCTACGATATCTGTATTTGACAGAGGATTTATTTTTTATTTAGTTCTTTTGACGAAAACATCAAACAACATTCCAGGCAAATTTCTAACGTCTTGTCTAAAATGAACTGAGATTTTACTTCTCTTTGAACTTGTAGTATACAATGCATATATTCAATTTCATAACATAGGCAGGCGCCAACATTCGTTTCCTTCTTTCAGCTTATACTTTTACTTTTTCAGTTCACATAGGGAAGGTCAATATTTCGTGCACTTCGTCATTAAGATGTTATTCAGAAATTAAGGTTAAATCACAGAACAGTGACCAGACAAACTTTGCGTCTGACATGCGCAGGAAAGTGTAGCGCTAAGCCATTGTTGAAAGGCTGGATTAAAATAACGTCACTTTCAGTATAATTAACAGTTCGCACTGGCTACCATACAGTAGAACAAGCCCTATACGTATCTAGTTACTAGGCTAACGTGTAGGTCACTGTCGGCAGTATCAACACCACACATTGACGACTGCATTGGGCAATTAGGCCTACATGAATCCAGTTACTCGTCTCATGTTTAGTTCACACACACAGCATCATCAGCATCAATCCACGCTGACGATCCAATAGTGTCAATAACCCTACATGTGTCTAGTTACTCGTCTCATGTTTAGTTAATTCAGTTATCAATAACGTCACACACTTGCGACAACACAGTACCATCAACACCACACACTGATCATGACGGCCATGCAGTACCATCAACTCCTCACACTGACGACAACACAGTACCATCAACTTCTCACACTGACAACACAGTACCATCAACCTCTCACACTGACGACAACACAGTACCATCAACACCATACACACTGACGACCATACAGTACCATCATCACCATACACTGACGACCATACATTACTATCATCACCACACACTGACACCATACAGTACCATCATCACCACATACTGACGACCATACATTACCATCGATACCACATACTGACGTTAACACAGTACTATCAACACCATACACACTGACGACCATACAGTGCCATCATCACTACATACTGACGACCATACAGTACCATCATCACCACATACTTACGAACATACAGTACCATCATCACCACACACTGACACCATACAGTACCATCATCACCACATACTGACGACCATACAGTACCGTCGATACCACATACTGACGTTAACACAGTACAATCAACACCATACACACTGACGACCATACAGTGCCATCATCACTACATACTGACGACCATACAGTACCATCATCACCACATACTGACGAACATACAGTACCATCATCACCACACACTGACACCATACAGTACAATCGATGCCACATACAGACAACCATACAGTACCATCATCACCACATACTGACGACCATACAGTACCATCATCACCACATACTGACGACCATACAGTACCATCATCACCATACACTGACGACCATACAGTACCATCATCACCACACACTGACGACCATACAGTACCATCATCACCACATACTGACAACCATACAGTACCATCAATACCACATACAGACAACCATACAGTACCATCATCACCACACAATGACGACCATACAGTACCATCATCACCACACACTGTGTGACGACCATGCAGTACAATCAACACCATACACACTGACGACCACACAGTACCATCATCACCACACACTGACGACCACACTGTACCATCATCTCTACATACTGACGACCATACAGTACCATCATCACCACACACTGACGACCACACTGTACCATCATCTCTACATACTGACGACCATACAGTACCATCATCACCACACACTGACACCATAAAGTACCATCATCACCACATACTGACGACCATACAGTACCATAGATACCACATACTGACGTTAACACAGTACCATCAACACCATACACACTGACGACCATACAGTACCATCATCACCAAACACTGACGACCTTACAGTACCATCATCACCACACACTGACGACCATACAGTACCATCATCACCACACACTGACGACCATACAGTACCATCATCACCACACACTGACGACCATACAGTACCATCATCACCACACACTGACGACCTTACAGTACCATCATCACCACACACTGACGACCATACAGTACCATCGATACCACACACTGACGTTAACACAGTACTATCAACACCATATACTGACACCATACAGTACCATCATCACTACATACTGACGACCATACAGTACCATCATCACCACACACTGACGACCATACAGTACCATCGCTACCACATACTGACGTTAACACAATACTATCAACACCATACACTGACGACCATACAGTACCATCATCACCACACATTGACACCATACAGTACCATAGATACCACATACTGACGTTAACACAGTACCATCAACACCATACACACTGACGACCATACAGTACCATCATCACCACATACTGACGACCATACAGTACCATCATCACCACACACTACGACCATACAGTACCATCATCACCACACACTGACGACCTTACAGTACCATCATCACCACACACTGACGACCATACAGTACCATCATCACCACATACTGACGTTAACACAGTACTATCAACACCATACACTGACACCATACAGTACCATCATCACTACATACTGACGACCATACAGTACCATCATCACCACACACTGACGACCATACAGTACCATCGATACCACATACTGACGTTAACACAATACTATCAACACCATACACTGACACCATACGGTACCATCATCACCACACACTGACACCATACAGTACCATAGATACCACATACTGACGTAAACACAGTACCATCAACACCATACACACTGACACCATACAGTACCATCATCACCACATACTGACGACCATACAGTACCATCATCACCACACACTGACGACCATACAGTTCCATCATCACCACACACTGACGACCATACAGTACCATCATCACCACATACTGACGTTAACACAGTACTATCAACACCATAAACTGACACCATACAGTACCATCATCACCACACACTGACACCATACAGTACCATCATCACCAAACACTGACACCATACAGTACCATCATCACCACATACTGACGACCATACAGTACCATCATCACCACACACTGACGACCACACAGTACAATCAACACCATACACACTGACGACCATACAGTACCATCATCACCACACACTGACGACCATACAGTACCATCATCTCTACATACTGACGACCATACAGTACCATCATCACCACACACTGACGTCCACACAGTACCATCAACACCATACACACTGACGACCACACAGTACCATCAACATCACACACAGCTGACGACCATGCAGTACCACCATCACCAGATACTGACGACTACACAGTACCATCATCACCACACATTGACTACCACAAAGTACCATCAACGCCACACACGTTAAACAACAGACAAACGGAAATACACCGCTGTGGCAAGCGGACTCGCGTCTCACCCATCGCACAAGTGCCTTGAACTGATATTTTATGAGTGTTTCGACTACTTCTGAAGGCCGAATCCATTGTTGTAATTGTTTTGTTTCTTTGTGTGGTTTGGTTCCATGCTTTTTAACATAAAAGCAAGTATTGTTCCAGTAATGCCACGTCGGCCTATAAATACCCGAGGACAACAAAGTATCATGACACCCAATTAACTAAGGCACCAAGACAGATTATATAACTCGGTCTCACGATATATTGCTTGGCAACAATCACAACCAAGGTTGGGATGGCGTCCATGAAGTATTAATTAATGGAGATTATTTTCATCCATCACCGGCAACTGTTTAAAGACCTAATCTCCGGTTACGTTTGTTTGTTTGTTGTTGGGTATATGTTATTGGAAAATGTTGGTGGCCTGATATTCGACCTTATGCGACATGACAATGAACAGTTTTCAATGCCTTTGTACAATGATAACATGTGATCATCGACCTCCAAAATTTCATATTTATATCTGTGATATTAAATTAAATATATCGACTTTATTAAGTACAATAAATTTACTAAAAATCACCTTGAACATCAAACATATGTTTCATATTTTAAGGTTTCGAACCCAAATATATATTTACTACCGAGTGTATGCATTTCGGTTGCAAGTTTTTACTGCCCAAGTGAATATGTTTTGGCGAATAATCGACACCGGCTATTCTCTGGCGTTGACGTTTTGTATTTAAAGTAATAACTCACAGAAACTTTTGTGTGATTATTTTATTGGTTAAACGTGTGTTTTAAATAGATATCCATTCATAACTTACATGTATATTTCATTAAACAAAATTCAGAGAATTATGAACAAAAGAGGTTTCTGTTTTGCTTTCATGATCTAACATGATGACCCACGATAAGTAGATTATGTATTGTAATTGTTCGACTTCCTCATTGTGTGGCGCTTACAAGTGTGGAGCATATTGTTGACCTATCCTGTCAAGGAATCGCTAAGGGTATGGTGTATGGGGACTTGAAGAGCTACGGAAACATCCCATGTGTGTTCGTTACTGACACGATGACTGAAGCGGCAGATGTCTAGTGTCATTGTGTGGCTTACAAAGCTGTAAGCTAGCTATCCTCACTGGTTAGCCATAAAGCAGTATGTTAGCTCATATGACTGTCTGGCTCGAAGCAGCAGATGTCATTTTAGCAGGCGTCTAGCAGCTTGTCGAACTGTCTGGATGTGAAGCACTGGCATATCCAGCTTCGTAGTCAGTAAGGTGGCCAGTCTCAATGTTTGGCTGTGTAGGGGTGAGATATCTGGTCTCAATGTTTGGCTGAGTAGGGGTGAGGTACCTGGTCTCAATGTTTGGCTGAGTAGGGGTGAGATACCTGGTCTCAATGTTTGGCTGAGTAGGGGTGAGGTACCCGGTCTGAATGTTTGGCTGAGTAGGGGTGAGATACCTGGTCTCAATGTTTGGCTGAGTAGATGTGAGGTACCTGGTCTCAGTGTTTGGCTGAGTGGGGGTGGCGTATCTATTCTCAGTGTTTTGCTGTATGGCAGTGAGGTATCCGGTTTCAATGTCTGGACGTGCAGAAGTGTTTGGCTCTACTGATGGAGGACCTACTTCATCATAGACATGGTCAGCGTTGTCCTCCCCGCGAGGAATGCGAACATCTTTCACGGGTCTAGCTTGTGATCCTGGTCGATGCCTAGAACTGTAAAAGTGCACTTGTTAGTAAAACATTGACTTTATAAACGTCTGCGTTTATTGGGGCATAAACCTGAAAAACGGGGTTTTTTTACGTTCAGAACTCAATGAACGCAAAACATGTTGACGTCCATTCTTATAAATATGTAACGTCAAAACAATATAACGTCACAGACTGCTTATTTAATCATTCCCACAAAACAACCTGTAGACAACACTACAACATTGGTGTCATCGTTCAGTGATATAATCCAAAAAAGGACCCGCCCATTCTATTATCAGCCAATCAGGAAACAGTAGTGGGGGTGACCTAATCGTCTAAACGTTGGATTTCATAAACGGAGATCTTCAGTATCTGGACTTTACACTGCGAATGAATCATTTTCTTGATAAGTACCATGTCCAAATAAAACGTGGCATTCAGCAGCCATTCTGAATTGCCTTTGATTAATATATATCAGTAAAAACCATTCACTGACGTAAATGGTATTACCATAATGTTTTATGGCAGTGTAATTTATTGTTAAACAATGATTGTAACTGTTTTACATTGTTTCTGTTGCGATTCAGAAGCAGCTAATTGCATTGTAGTTTTCAGGAATGTAGTTCTATTTAATGAAGTCAGTTTGTGAGAAAGTTATCATATTTAGATGCTCGAATTATCTGTTAACTTCCGGAAAAGAATGGATGGAATGTCAAGCATTATACAAACATGTGGAATATTCTGTGATGTTCTAGTTTCACTGGACTGATCTGGCACTGTTTGGAAAGTGCTGGAAGCTAGTTAGACTATATAAGTGGAGCCGGAGTCTGCCTGTATCATCTCACATTTCATCTCATATTATTTCATCTGACATTACATCAAGACTAGCTTTCATGCGAAGATCACTTTTAACCCTGGTGTTCAGCCAAGGCCTATCTCGGCAAGGTGATTTTTTTCTTGTAGTTGCCATTTTCACTGCTCTCACAATTTCGACTGCCATTTAATAGTGTACTACCACGTTACTGTGTACTGCCATTTAACAGTGTACTACCACGTTTTTGTGTACTGCCATTTAATAGTGTACTACCACGTTATTGTGTACTGCCATTTAATAGGGTACTACCACGTTATTGTGTACTGCCATTTAATAGTGTACTACCACGTTAATGTGTACTGCCATTTAAGGTGTACTACCACGTAATTGTGTACTGCCATTTAATAGTGTACTACCACGTTATTGTGTACTGCCATTTAATAGTGTACTACCACGTTATTGTGTACTGCCATTTAATAGTGTACTACCACGTAATTGTGTACTGCCATTTAATAGTGTACTACCACGTTATTGTGTACTGCCATTTAATAGAGTACTAGCACGTTATTGTGTACTGCCATTGTAATTGCTGTGCAGTAATTTTATTCATTTTTAATCCTAGTTAATTTTGTAATACAATTGTTGATTGTATACCATTTGTTGATTTCTGGTTTAACATATTGTTTCAATTTTGGAATCGACTTGTAACAATATGGCGGCTTGTGTTGTCTTTGTAGCATATGACAACACATAATCACTGATGAATAGTTATTGAATAGTCGATACGGTGAAATGTCCACAGTTGAAACATTCAGCTTATACGGTCGGTCCGAAATGAAATATCTAATAATCGAATACAAATCTCAAATCTGAAAATGCATCATGTTATCTCTTGAAGAAATACATACCAAGTGCAGATGAGGAACGGAATCGTTATCAATACGAGGAGACCAGCAAAAGCAACAACGGTGACAATTGCCATGATGTACGGGTTGAATGTAGTGATGTTTGGTTTGTGGTGAAATTCTGAAACATGATACCGGTCATAATGACAATACATTCAAGAAAGCTTAATTGCCTACCGACATGACGCAAAGTGACGTAGATTTATTTTTCCAAATACCATACTGGCGCGAATCAGATAAAGTACTGACATTATCTCAACGTTATGACCGAGAGGTAATACTATATGTTTTTTCTTCTGTTACATGAACTTTTGGACAGAGTGGTAATACTGATAGAACGGCGTGAAACCCGACTAGTACAAACAGACACACACACAAGCATAAACACACACACACACACACACACACAAACACACACGTGCATGCACGTCGCTTTTCAAAAGTGCAAAAAGACGCGACGTTGAACCTCATTTCACCTCACCTGTTTAACCTTGACGTAAGCGGCGCAAGTTGTATATAACTATAATGGCATCATACAAACTCCTAACTTCTATATATATAAAGATTTCTAATTTCGTTTTTCACGTGAGACTAGCTACATATCATATTAACCACGCTGTGTTAAACACCTCAAATTGTATGCAGTAAACGTACGTGGGAACACGGTCACGGCGTCCTCGTCCTCAGTGAAGCTTGTCTCGTCAGGATTGCTGGCGTAAGTTGTTGTTTGTCTGACTTGTAATTCAGTTGTGATGTTTATCACCACACAGTCTCCAGTATTTGCATCACATCGCTGGCATCCGGCTGGGCAGGTTTTGGTGCAGTTGGCACCATAGAAGCCGTCGTCACAATGACCCATACACTTTCCAGACTCTTTGCCACATTGATGGCAGGACTGAGAACACCTTTGTGAACAGTTAGAACCATAGAATCCATTTTCACAAGGATCTAGACATCTACCAGACCCTTTGTCGCAACGGTGACATAAGTGCAAACACCTCTGTAAACATCTGGAACCGTAGAAGCCGTTCCTGCAGGGCCCAGTACAATCCCCGGTATAACGGTCACATGTCAAACAGGGTCGCTTACAACGCGTGTTACACGTCAAGCCTCTGTACCCGTCCTGGCAGCCCTGAGTGCAGTTGACACTCCGACCACTAGACAGGAGGTCACACCTCCCTTCTGCACAGTGAGGAGGACAAGAACGGGTACAGTCGGGTCCGTAGAATCCAGCAGGACATGTTGCTGCAACAATTGAATTGAACTTTCACTGATTTGTATGCCGAAAGAAAACGATTTCATAAAACAAAATTGGGGGGTTGGGGTGCAATTAAAGAAAGTAAGCTCAGGAAAGCAGGGACACATAACTTCTTTAAGAGGCTTTTAGAAGTTGGAGTACTAAGTAAGGATAAGATATATGAATGAACAACTTTTTTAGTACGATGAGGAGCGACGTCTCGGTGTAACGGTGTCAGAACCTACACCGAAACGTCGTTCCTCGTCTTAATAAAGAAGTTGTTCACCCATATATCTTATCCTTACTCAGGGGCACATTTTGTGATTGTGAATAAGAAAGTAAGTGAATGGGATGATGCGCCTTCGTCAGGTATGCACGACTATCCCACCGCAGCATTCAGTAGGATGATGATATCACCACTACCTCACCACAGCATTCAGTAGGATGATGGGATCACCACTACCTCACCACAGCATTCAGTAGGATGATGATATCACCACTACCTCACCGCAGCATTCAGTAGGATGATGATATCACCACTACCTCACCGCAGCATTCAGTAGGATGATGGGATCACCACTACCTCACCACAGCATTCAGTAGGATGATGATATCACCACTATCCCACCGCAGCATTCAGTAGGATGATGATATCACCACTACCTCACCGCAGCATTCAGTAGGATGATGGGATCACCACTACCTCACCACAGCATTCAGTAGGATGATGATATCACCACTACCTCACCGCAGCATTCAGTAGGATGATGATATCACCACTACCTCATCGCAGCATTCAGTAGGATGATGGGATCACCACTACCTCACCGCAGCATTCAGTAGGATGATGATATCACCACTACAACACAGCAGCATTCAGTAGGATGATGATATCACCACTACCTCACCGCAGCATTCAGTAGGATGATGATATCACCACTATCCCACCGCAGCATTCAGTAGGATGATGATATCACCACTACCTCACCGCAGCATTCAGTAGGATGATGATATCACCACTACCTCACCGCAGCATTCAGTAGGATGATGATATCACCACTACCTCACCGCAGCATTCAGTAGGATGATGATATCACCACTATCCCACCGCAGCATTCAGTAGGATGATGATATCACCACTACCTCACCGCAGCATTCAGTAGGATGATGATATCACCACTACCTCACCGCAGCATTCAGTAGGATGATGATATCACCACTACAACACAGCAGCATTCAGTAGACACTGACACAAACGATATCACCGCAGCATATAGGACGATGATATCACAAGTATCAAAACATTCAGAAGACATAGAGAAATTTTTTTAGAGTGTTGATATATTTGATATCAAAAGATACGAGGGTGAGATTTTATTTATCATCCAACATCATTCTTCCAACTTTTTCAGTTTGTAGACAGTAATAAGCAGTGTCTTAAGTGTAAAAAGTACTGCTAACAGCTTCAGTAGCAGAGCCATTAGTGATGTCATTTGATTGTGACGTCATGGTAACAATGACGACACAATGGTCAGTGAAGTATTGTGATGCAATTTCATTGCAGCGATATCTACAGTGTAGATATAGCTTGATCTCACCCAAGTGACATCTCCTGTGGGAGCCAGTTTTGGATGATAAATATCAAGCACCATAATGTAGGTGTTGTAGTACAACAAAAGTAATGTCCAAAAGAAAGTATACCAACTAAAATGTTTTCAACTATTTGGATAACTTAAAAAACTATATAGATGAAGACACAAATATGTATTCGGTGACCAAATGTATGCGGTGACAAAAAGCAGGAAAAAATGGATTTTGTGGGGGTGAAAATCGACTTGGGCCACAACGACTTTGGACTATGTAGAACGAAATGCACGTTCAAAAGTATTGTATAAAATGATGACACGGCACGTTATGAACACATCAACCAAAAGCAACAAGAAAATATGCCACGTTTAACCGTTATACAGAGGGGGAGAGTCGTTGGTATGACGCAACTATGAGCCACGCAAGCCGCCATTGCAATAACGTTTGGATGCACCCGTGTTACCATGACCAGATCGATCGCGGCATTATCTCCGATGAGAGTAGATATTGCTTGCACACAAATGATGGTCGGCAGCGAGTATACAGAAGAGTATGTGAACGTTTAGCGCCAAATTGTGTTCAAGAAGTTCAAACATTTCGAGGAAGTAGCGGCATTGTCCGAGGAGGTATTTGCGATGATGTCAAAACGAGGCGTGCTTGTTATTATTCAAGGAAACCTGAATGCCCAGAGATATTGGGATGAAGTTTGGTGACCATTCTTTCAGCAACAGCCACGTGACATTGTCCTCCGGTTAGACAATGCGAGACCGCATACGGCAAGGCTCACACAGAACTTTCTGAACAACGCGAACATTCACGTTTCACCCTGGCCGGCATGGGCAGTTCTACACATTACAGTAGAACACGAATATAACGAACACGGATATAGCGAACAAACGGATACAACGAACTGTTAAAAAATCCCCGATTTATCTCCTATATAATATCATATAAAATTTACGTATATAACGAACTCTCTACAGCGAACTAACGGATATAGCGAACTGATATCTGATCACCGACAAGCCCATCTATCACTAATTTGTGACGTGAAAAGCGAACTGAGAAATCTTTCAGTGTCAAGTGTCACTGACAATTGGCCGTAAGCAATCTGCCTCGAATCAACACAATGGCGGCGAATAAATACAATCAGCGGTGACGGATCAGCCTTGTTACATTTGCATTGTGGGCAGTTCTACCCCTTACAAATGTATGTTAAAACACAGCTCTAATGAAATATATACACATTGGCTTTCCATATGCTTTTGTTTTTTCTTTCATGGTCTTTTAAACTCTTAGTATACTTTCTTCTGGACTTTAGTTTATATCAACTGAGAATATCGGTTGTCAATGATATCCCAAGTATTTCACCCTAGCACGCAGTGGTCAGTGATAACACTGCTAGACCGCCAAGGCATGAAAACGTCATTGATATCACAAGAGCATATCATGCAGGAGACAGTGATATCACATCTTGCCCAGGCATGCAGTAGTCAGTAATGGCAGAACATTTTTGTCACAAAAATACCACATGTCAATAACCTATGTTTCTTTGTTTAAATTGGTTCATAGGCATTACTGGGGCGGTCGGGTAGCCTAGTGGTTAAAGCGTTCGCTCGTCACGCCAAAGACCCGGGTTCGATTCCCGACATGGGTACAAAGTGTGAAGCCCATTTCTGGTGTCCCCCGCCGTGATATTGCTGGAATATTGCTAAAAGCGGCGTAAAACCATACTCACTCACTCACTCACTCACTTATAGGCATTACTTAGAAATGGACGGATGACACAGCAGAGACAATTGATGGAAAACAACTTCTTTATTTACTGTGAAGGCTACGTGTCGGTATTTATCCCTATACCGATGTCAAGTTAAGCCTGATTGCTTCTTATTAAGACGCTGCACTCAGCCATATTCCAGCTATGTGAAGACGGCCTGTAAATAATGAAGTCTGGACCACAAAATCCAGTGACTGATATCATGACCAATGAACGGTATACGATCAGCCAGGTCATCAATCCTGACCAGCCGATCGAATTCGTCGCCTCTGACGACAAGCATATATCACTGGCTACGAATTCTAATCCATGAAGAACTGCTGTGACACCATCCGGCAGATCACGGAGCTGGTGGTCAACCATCAAATAAATATGCATATACAGCAATCACTGTGGCCGAAACTGAACGCCTGTTACGCGATACATGGGTTGAAAAGTGCTGGTTAAAGCGTTAGAAGGGATATATAAACTTACCTCCAAATGCCGAGTGCGTTACGACCACTATAGAGACAATTCCAAATATGTACTGACGCATAATCCCTGTAACATAGAGACACCGGTGGTACATATTACAGAATAGGTATCGGGACTCTTAAGAGACAAATAGCCCATGGGTACAATATGTGAAGCCCATTTCTGGTGTCCCCCGCCGTGATATTGCTGGAATAGCGGCGTAAAACCATATTCACTCACTCACTCTTGACTCAAATATCAAAAGTTCCCTATTCTGATTTCAGAATAGAGCTAGCTATAGTTGGCTAGACTTGTTTTTTGTATACGTTTCCAGATTTATTTTTTTCTGTAAAATAAATATATTCCACGGTCATGGTGCAGGACTATAAAGTACATTGTACCTCCCACACGATCTGACGTATCCATGGTAACATCGTTCTGTCATTGTAAATCAAGATGGCGCATCCACAGCATTATTGATCAATGAAATAGTTTCTTCAAATTGTCAAATAATTGAACTTATTCTCTAAGTCGAAACATGGCCAGATGATGTCAACCATCTCCCATGTCACTGGCTAACCCAAAACATATTCAAACCCCTGTGTCCATGCCACATCAGCCACAAAGTTGTCCAAGGCGGGCGTTGGTGTCCTAGGAATGTATGTCACTGTCACTGAGGAATGGGCAATCCTTGAAAAGTTGCATAACCACATCATGGCACATGTACATTTGTTGCTCGTCGTTGGGCATTAAGCAACATACGGCAGCCAAACAAAACGATCGTTGTTGCGCTTCCTCCGCCATTTTCGTTCAATGGTGACGCCACGTCACCCCCAAGGCCGTCGATTCACGTCGGTTACGGTATTTAGTGCAGCCAACTAGGTAAGCACACTGATTCATGGCTTGCAGTGGCTGCAGTCTGCCAACATTCGTAATGTGAGTGAGTGAGTGAGGTATCATTTAGTGCAGCCAACTAGGTAAGCACACTGATTCATGGCTTGCAGTGGCTGCAGTCTGCCAACATTCGTAATGTGAGTGAGTGAGTGAGGTATCATTTAGTGCAGCCAACTAGGTAAGCACACTGATTCATGGCTTGCAGTGGCTGCAGTCTGCCAACATTCGTAATGTGAGTGAGTGAGTGAGGTATCATTTAGTGCAGCCAACTAGGTAAGCACACTGATTCATGGCTTGCAGTGGCTGCAGTCTGCCAACATTCGTAATGTGAGTGAGTGAGTGAGGTATCATTTAGTGCAGCCAACTAGGTAAGCACACTGATTCATGGCTTGCAGTGGCTGCAGTCTGCCAACATTCGTAATGTGAGTGAGTGAGTGAGGTATCATTTAGTGCAGCCAACTAGGTAAGCACACTGATTCATGGCTTGCAGTGGCTGCAGTCTGCCAACATTCGTAATGTGAGTGAGTGAGTGAGGTATCATTTAGTGCAGCCAACTAGGTAAGCACACTGATTCATGGCTTGCAGTGGCTGCAGTCTGCCAACATTCGTAATGTGAGTGAGTGAGTGAGGTATCATTTAGTGCAGCCAACTAGGTAAGCACACTGATTCATGGCTTGCAGTGGCTGCAGTCTGCCAACATTCGTAATGTGAGTGAGTGAGTGAGGTATCGTTTAGTGCAGCCAACTAGGTAAGCACACTGATTCATGGCTTGCAGTGGCTGCAGTCTGCCAACATTCGTAATGTGAGTGAGTGAGTGAGGTATCATTTAGTGCAGCCAACTAGGTAAGCACACTGATTCATGGCTTGCAGTGGCTGCAGTCTGCCAACATTCGTAATGTGAGTGAGTGAGTGAGGTATCATTTAGTGCAGCCAACTAGGTAAGCACGCTGATTCATGGCTTGCAGTGGCTGCAGTCTGCCAACATTCGTAATGTGAGTGAGTGAGTGAGGTATCATTTAGTGCAGCCAACTAGGTAAGCACACTGATTCATGGCTTGCAGTGGCTGCAGTCTGCCAACATTCGTAATGTGAGTGAGTGAGTGAGGTTTAACGCCGTTTTGAGCAATATTCCAGCAATATCACGGCGGGGAACACCAGAAATGGGCATCACACATTGTACCCATGTCGGGAATCGAACCCGGGTCTTCGGCGTGACGAGCGAACTCTTTAACCACTAGGCTACCCGACCGTCCCTCTAACATTCGTGATACAAAGGTAACAAAGGTGCAACTTTTATGACAGAAAGACCTAAACTCACAATACCCAGTAACACCGGAATAAACTGATCCAAATTTATATAAAAACGAAATTACAAATCCTACATATTTCTGCATTAGATTTTGGACAATCACATACTGTACGAATGGTAACTTGTCATTTTTTAAAACAATAAACTACCCATTTTATTGGTGTTTTAGTTTGTTTAAATCATATTGCGTCTCTCAACGTATGAGTGCTGGCAATGAGTTCTCCCTGTTTGAGAATTTTGTACGGCGAATATGACAGCTTCGAGTTTAAACGTATCATCAGTTAAACACAAGGGTAGTCCTAAATTCGGCATCAAAGTAATAAATTAAAGTTTGCTCTACCCCTATGTGTAGGGTAGTTCATATAATAGTTCAGGACAAGACTTTACTGTATTTACAGTACAATCAATCAATCTTTATTCTCGCTCTTAAGAGGCCACAGGCCTATAGTAGATATAACAGAGGTGTTGCACATAAGTTTGACTAGTATTTACAAATTTGGTTCTATATAACAGTGCGTGGTATATATACATAGCCAGGTTTTGCATTATTAATGTATCGAGAATGTGTAACAATTTCACAATATTTGGATCTTTAAAGTAGTATACCGGAATATTTTTTTCTCACAGTGTAGTACAATGGACAAACAAGTAAAAAGAGATATTTATCCCCTATGTCTTGGCTATTACACATTGTACATAATCGTTATGACCTTGAACGTTTGTATATCGCCCACACTCGATGCATAAATCATGGGATGAACATCGAAATCGTGCCAAAGAATTACATTATTTCTATATATTTACATTGAACAGATACTGTTCAGAATATATATGAGTTTTTAACATTCTATAAGATAAAACACTGGTTCGATAATATCAACGAAAATGACCACGATTGCAGATAAATCTATTTTAGCTTCTGTAGCAATTTTTGCAAAGAATTGATAATGCACTTTCAGATTGTACAGATTGTTCATACTAAACATTTCCCAAACCACTTTTGAATAAAAAAAATCACATCAGTTACCAAGTTATTCTTTCCATTCGTATCATATAACATCATCCTGTTAATTCATTTTGACGAGTTCCAGACAGAACTTTATAACTTTTAGCTGTGAATATATAAACAGAGGAAATCAACCACATTCTCGATAAACCATTGGGCTAGATGTTGCTTTTTACACGAAGATTTTTTTTACATGAATACAAGTGAAGCTTTAAAGAAGAATTAAATTGTTTTAATCCTCATATTCAGCACCGTAAAGTAAACTTGGGGTAAGTTTAACATACAACTGTTATATACAACTGTCGTGGATTTCTGATACTAATCTGTTTAAGAAAAAGGAAAAGGAAAACGGATTCAATTTACATCCTTGGCGCACGTCATGTACATGTATGTATTCAAACATATCAAACATTAAACCCTTGTCTCGTACACACGTTTAAACATTTTCACATATTCTACATAATAATTTCAACATTTTGGAACTAAGTCCGCGTGCAGTAAATGATCTCCAAAGTTTACACCTGTAAATAGAATCAAATGCTTTAGATAAGTCAACAAATCATGCATAAAACTTCCCCCACCCCTTTCTTCCTGATATAACGCTGCATCAGGGATTTCAACATAACGACGGAATCAACTGATGGATATCCTTCCCTAAGTCCAGCCTGCGATTCAGATATTTTATCCATGGTATTGGCCCAAGACACAATTCTCTTATTAATAATAAAAGTAAATATTTTACTGAAGGTACACAGCAGAGTTATCTCTCTGGACAGTCCCTTTGGTTCCAAACTATTCAGTACTTCCGTGATTCAGGCACTCCATATCATATTATATTATTTCCCTTGTTTATGCGTTCGTTTTCTATGTTCGATTATAAATCATAAAAATAACTTGACATCAGCTCGCTTATCACAAACAGTGAATCAACGTCTATCCTGAGTAAGTCATGCTAGCCTTTAGTTGAACTGACATCTGACTTCAAATCACTGATATCACTTCTCATGTATCATCCCTGACGTCTTACTCTTATTCTGCATGTCATATTACTTATAACCTTAACTAATATTTTTTTTCCATTTTGGAATGAAAACTTAGTGTTCACTTATTGATGTTCCGCAACTCAGTATACCAAATTGCTGACCGTTTTTGTTCTAATTGGCCAGAATTAGAACAATATGCACACAATCATTTTAGATTCCTTGTGCTGTGAATAAATTGAGTAATTGTCATATTTAAACTACAATCAATAATTATGGCTGTTATAATTGTTGTTGTATCTTATCTTTTCACTTTTAACGCAAAACATCTACTTTTCTGTCTCTGAGTTTGGCAACAAATGACATAAACTTATTGTAAAGAATGTAAAAGTAAATTTAGCGAATATGTCTACAAAAACTCGTAGTTGGATCAGGCCTAGGGATACGTATAATACCCGAAAATGTAGACATTAGACATATTCCCTGTAACATATATACCTTATTTAAGAATACCGGAAGGCTCTGTGTTAAAAAAGCTGCTACAAGTAAATTCCTGCTCATGTATCAAGGTGTGGATCCAAAATGAATATTATCTTAAGAACAGTATCTTTATTATAACTGTTATTCGTCTCATTGTTACATTTACATTTACAAAACCAACGCCTCCATTTCCTGAACACACTTTTTTATATTTCACGAAAATGATAATATCGAAATATAGGAGGGACACAATCACTGTTTACCTTGAGTGGACGTCAAACGACAGTTCACAATGACGCAGTACTTATACTGCACTTACAAGAATTAAATTTATAATAGTAGATCAATATATCAGTGTGAAATGCGTTTCTTAAGAAGAACGTATTAAAAAGAACAACACATGCGTATATTTGAAGCCTGGTTGTTTGAACAATTTAGTTATCGCTGAACTCAAAACAACGTCACATGAAAGAGAAAACTAAGTTTGTAACATAATATTCAAGGTATAAAACTGCTGACAGCGTGTGTTTCTCACATTTCCAAGATTGAGTTGGGGGAGATTTTCCGACAGAACCTGCACAAGAGCTATGACGAAAAGCGGAAAGGGCAAACAAAAGGGTTTGCAGTTTACCCAGTTGTCACTAAGAACTTCAGTTGTCGAGCTCAGGCAAATCTCAAAGATATGCAGTCAATGAGACAAGGGCAATTCATGTGGATTGTGGGATACCAGGATCACCTTACTACGTTCAGTGTGGCGAGACAGCTTACCTACACACGCTGTTGACTTTGAGGATCAGTTACAAATGTATCATATTTATTAATAGATCTGTATTCACATGAATTATTATAAATTTCTTGGTTGTCAGGTTTGACCATAGGGTCCCCGAAAGGTTTCAGGGAATACGTCTAAAATCTTGTTGGATCAGGGAAGCTGTATAATACCTGAACATTTTAGTGATTATATAAATTCCCCTAATCTTTTTAGAGATTATACACATTCCCTTAGTAGACATATTCCCTGTAGCAGCTATAATTAATATTCCTTGTAGACTGTATGAAGTAGGAACTAAAAAAGAAGGCAATATATTCTTTGATTTCATAATTACGCATTTACAATGAAGGGATATTTTCACATTCGTCCTGTTTTGTTCGGCAAAGCCGTATTTATTCTAAAACGTTTTAGGGGCGGTGGGGTAACCTCGTGGTTAAAGCATTCGGGTTCGACTCCCCACATGGGTACAGTGTGAGAAAAAAGCCCATTTTCTAATGTCCCCCGCCTTGATAGTGCTGGAGTAATGTCCTTAGGCCATAGTCACTCACTCAGTCACGTTTTACGTATAGAACGTACTCCTTGATTGGACTTGTTACAACATACACATGATTGTATAATGTACCGAATAACCACTTAGTACAGTCTATAATTAGTGTATGCGGAAATAAATAGCAAACAATATAATGTCCGCCCTTGTAGGGCAAGGGTGATTGTGATGGGGAGACTGCTATAGTTTCATATCCTAAAATTAGTTCACTGTACAATAGTATCGCCCTATAACGTCCTGTCACTGCATTCATAATAACATTTAGTTACCGAAAATATAGATATGTCAACAGCTCATGACGATGTGAAAATATGAAGATATTGGCAATTTATTTTACTAAATATACCAGACCGCCTCCGTGGTCTAGTGGTAGAGCGTCCGCCCGGAGTGCGGAAGGTCCGGGTTCGATACCCGACCGCTTCATAACCAAAGAACTTTAAAGATGGTACTTGTTGTTACTCTGTTTGGTGGTCGGCATTAAGGGGCTAAAACAAGGACTGGTCGGCTCGGAGTCAGTTTACTGTGTCTGAGTGGGGTATTCATGTTAAACTGCCACATGGTATTTCAGTGGGCTAGGACTATAGATCGTATAGATCGTAGATAGATTGTACACGTGTAATAATCTTGGACGCAACGTTAAACCCCATTTCACCTCACCTCACTAAATATACCGAGATACAGCTTATAGAATGTAACTATCAAGTAACTATTCGCTATCAAGTAATGATATATGCTTGTACTTGGCCTTCGTTAAACATCATAAGCTATACAGATTACATACATTATTGAATGTTTCGCGAACACCTTGTATCATCACTATTTGATAGTGATTCATAAACATATGTTCAATATATAATCAGGGGTGGTCGGGTAGCCTAGTGGTTAAAGCGTTCGCTCGTCACGCCGAAGACCCGGGTTCGATTCCCGTCATGGGTACAATGTGTGAAGCCCATTTCTGGTGTCACCCGCCGTGATATTGCTGGAATATTGCTAAAAGCGGCGTAAAACCATACTCACTCACTCAATATATAATCGGAATCGTACAATCGGGTTTTGTCGCTTTATATATTATGATCATTGTGAAATCGGCGTGTACTTACACAACACCTACCTTTAGTCCGAATGCATGTTGCAGGGGTACCGCTTCTCAAACCGGTATGGGTGAACACATACCTCAACACGACTCGTTGTGTTGTTGCACTTGCCCGAACCAATGAACAAATTGAAACGAGGAAGAAAAAATGACTCATGGGCTTTTCCAGCGACGGTAATGCGATCGCCAGTTTGTCATTTTTAAGTCATGGCAAACTGGTTAGGCGTGTTATATACACCGTACTGATACCAGCTGGAGTGTTGCGATGTGCGGCATAGAACACACTTGAAATAACATTCTCTTTTCGACTGGTTATTTGCTGAAGGGGTATTTCCTCTTGTTAGTAATCAAAAAGTGTAACAAGTATTGCCTCTAATCCGTCACCAGTTTGCAGGTATTGAAAAAGGCACAGAGGTAAGTATGAGGATCTTTCCTCTGTTACCGGCACCACTACAACACCTCCGTTACCGCTACAACACATCCGTTACCGCTACAACACCCCCTTACCGCTATAATACCTCCATTACTGCTACAAAAAAACCGTTACCGCTACAACACCTCCATTACTGCTACAACACCTGCATTACCGCTACAACACCTCCGTTACTGCTACAACACCTGCATTACCGCTTCAACAACCCCGTTACCGCTACAACACCTCCATCACCGCTACCAAAAGCCCCCCTCCGTTACAACACCCCCGTTATCGCTACAACACCTCCATTACCGCTACAACACCTCCGTTACCGCGACAACACCTCCACTACCGGCACCACTAAAACACCTCCGTTACAACTACACCTCCATCACCGCTACCATAACATCTCCATTACCGCTACAACACCTCTATTACCGCTACAACACCTCCGTTGCCGCTACAACACCTCCATTACCGCTACAACACCTCGGTTACCGCTACATTATTTCCATTACCGCTACAATACCTATATTACCGCTACAACACCTCCATAACCGCTACAACAACTCCATCACCGCTACAACACCTCCGTTACCGCTATAACACCTCCGTTCCCGTCACAACACCTTCATTACCGCTACAACACCTCCAATACCGCTACAACAACTCCATCACTACGACGGGCTCTCCCAAATGCCGCTGCCTCACACACTACAACACCCCCGTTGTCGCAGCCGCCACCACTACGACGGGCTCTCCCAAATGCCGCTGCCTCACACACTACAACACCCCCGTTGTCGCAGCCGCCACCACTACGACGGGCTCTCCCAAATGCCGCTGCCTCACACACTACAACACCTTCGTTGTCGCAACCGCCACCACTACCACGAGCTCTCCTAAATGCCGCTGCCTCACACACTACAACACCCCCGTTGTCGCAGCCGCAACCACTACGACGGGCTCTCCCAAATGCCGCTGCCTCACCCACTACAACACCCCCGTTGTCGCAGCCGCCACCACTACGACGGGCTCTCCCAAATACCGCTGCCTCACACACTACAACACCCCCGTTGTCGCAGCCGCCACCACTACGACGGGCTCTCCCAAATGCCGCTGCCTCACACACTACAACACCTTCGTTGTCGCAACCGCTACCACTACCACGAGCTCTCCCAAATGCCGCTGCCTCACACACTACAACACCTTCGTTGTCGCAGCCGCCACCACTACCACGAGCTCTCCTAAATGCCTCTGCCTCACACACTACAACACCCCCGTTGTCGCAACCGCCACCACTACGACGGGCTCTCCCAAATGCCGCTGCCGCACACACTACAACACCTTCGTTGTCGCAACCGCTACCACTACAACGAGCTCTCCCAAATGCCGCTGCCTCACACAAAACACCTCGGTTACTGCTACCACAAACTCTACCCCTTTAAACCATGGCCAGCGGTAGACAGCAATGTTACATTTCTATCACCATGACTAGACCCTACTAGATGACTTATCCTATATCTGTGATGTGGTGTTTGTAGTGTTAAGCCACACTCCGTCATATTCCAGCCATATGACGGCGGTCTGCAAATAATCGAGTCTGGAAGAGACAATCCAGTGACTGACATCATGAGCATCCATCCACGCAATTTGGATACGATGACATGCATCAACTAAGTCAGCGAGCCTGACCACCCGATCCCGTTAGTCGTCTCTTACGACAAGCATGTGATGCTGCAGACCTATTCTACCCCGGATCTTCACGGGTCTTATCCAGTATCTAATGACAACACAGATAATACGGATAATGCAGTATTCATAATATTCTTTGTGAGATTGTTGCTCTATATAAAGAACAAAAGAAATTGAATTGTTTGAAAACTTTATTTGACGTGATGTAAGGACATTTTGTATGAATAACAATTATCTGTAACAAAGTTTCAGGGCTAGTTCTTGCTGCTGAAGCAGGACACATACATGTATTAAGTGAAATGTGAACGAAACAAAATACACGTATGAAGGAGTTGGATAGGCTTAACATTACCGGCTATCCTGATTCTATTTCAAATAACAATATATAAAAAATATATATAAATACACGTGGAAGGCTTGCAGACAGGAAAGAATTTGGATTTAATTGAGACTTTCTATAAGACTCACCATTGGGTTAGTTTGATCCAACTGATTGAATATATGCATGTTTCAAAATAATACAGTTATAAAGTCCCCAACCGCGAGGCTTACACTACAAAATACTGTTTAAGTTATCTGAAAATCCCAACCTTGGTTTATTAATCGTTTGTTAAACTTACAGAAAAATCCTAAAGCATCTGACATATAAATATAAAATTAAATTTAAGATCTCTCATCATTTAAACATATATTTATACAAAATGACATAAAATCATAAAAAACAACAATTAATATTTAGACTGTTTATATTTTGGGATTTCTCATACACAGGCGAATGGGTAAATAATTCAAGGCAGGTACACATCGTTGGTTACTCTTCTGTCGTAATGTTTCCTGCCATTGCCTGCAATGTCGGGCATGAAGTGTGAGTATGTCGTGCGCGGTGAGTTCCTTCTGGCGTGAGGGAGGTAGGCGTGGTTGATGTATGGTCTCTCCTCTCTGGGGTCTAATTTTATCCTGTCTTCCTGGCGCGGTTTTTCTTTCTGTACAGGAACAGAAATTGTGATTACATCAACGAGTGAGTGAGTGAGTATGGTTTCACGCCGCTTTTAGCAATACTCTAGCAATATAACGGCGGGATACATGAACGAGGTATATACAACCATGATAGATGTGTTACTTGCGGAATCAGAGGAAGAAACAGAAGTGCCGAATCTCTTCCGCCGACACATTACGTCACTGTGGTTTACTCATTTCGTGCCCGAAGTTGTGAGTGTTCCCCTTTATCAAAATACTGTATCCTGCTCTGGGTATTCCAGACTTACAAGAGAGTGTTTCAAAGCAGTGAAGGGCTGTTACTCTGCATGAGGCCGCAACTAATTGTAGTTATTAATATTATTGTTTGTACCCTGATGCGGCAGTCAAATCGGATGTTTCAATCAGAGGGGGTTTATTGTGATTTGATACCTCTGATTCACCAATATTAAATCGAGTATTTTCCAAATTCGTGCTAGAATTGTTGTTATTATTATTATTATTATTACTATTATTATTATTATTGTGTGTACTCTGATGGCAAATCGGCTGTTTCAATCAGAGGCGGTTTGTTATGATTTGATACCCCTGATTCACCAACAATTAATCGAGTACTTTCCAAATTTATGGTAAACTTGTAGTTATGATTATTATTGCTTGTACCCTGATGTCAAATCGTCAAATCGGCTGTATCAACCAGAGTCGGTTTGTTATGATTTGATACCCCTGATACACCAACAATAAATCGAGTATTTTCCAATTCATGGTAGTATTGTCGTTATTAATACTATTGTTTGTACCCTGATGGGGGACCAATCATTGCTACGAGAACTGGGGGTGTTGTGGTGCATATTTTGGATAACTGTGTCAAATTATAATGTGCGTGCTACTTGTCCTTACTTACAGACCAAATTAGTAAAAGATAACAATCGGTAGAAGTGGGGTGAATGAGGTTTTATGTCATGTTCAACAAGATGATTTCGATCGTATAACGACGTGCGTACACGTGATTCTGGCTGCCACACGCGGTTTACAGTGGTAGGGGACAGGGATACCATGCCATACAGTATACCTTCGAGCCTACCAGTCCTTTTAATTGTAACAACAAGTACCATCTTTGAATGTCTTTTAGAAGGACAAGGACAGGCGAACTATTGGTAGACATGTGCTTGGCTGCAACGCATTTATATATTATTATATTTAGCGTCGATATTTCTACTTCCAACTACAATAGTCACCGTATTGCATTTCCAATTCAATTTAAAATTATTGTCTAATTTGAAAATTTTGACAGGAACCGTCCACATAAACTATGTTTATGTTTTTATTATACGCCTGTCATAACAAATGAGTGGATGAGTATTGTTTTATGCCGCTTCTTATTTTTCAGCAAAATCACGGCGGGATACACCAAGGGTTTTACACATGGTAGTCATGTGAGGAGCGAACCCGGTCCTTCGACGTTACAGGCGAACGTTTTAAGAAAGAATTGAACTGAAGACTATTTGCTTTGGCAGTTGATTGTTTCTTACCGAGGACAACTTCTTATTCCTCATCTCCACGATTTTATAGATTGTGACGACGACGCCGAGGAAGCACAAGACGACGCTAATGCAGACGATGATGGCCACGACGTGGTCGCGAGCCGGGGCTGGAACCGGAGCAGTTTCTTCTTTGACGACCTCAACTGCAAACAAATACATTCATAGGTGATCCTGTGTCTGGAAGTATTTACTATTGCCTTTAAACATTTTTTGAATTTCCCTTCGGGTGAACTTCTGAATAAAATAGCCTTGCAGCGGTATAGGCAATTTGGGAAAGGGTCCATGTGTCCAAGTAGAACACACCAAGAGGTTTCTTAGCAAAGTCCCGGACGGGATTCAACCCATAAACGTACGAGAATCTGTACTTTACTAAGGAAGTGTTATCCCATATATAACTTTTGTTACATTTGACCACTTTCTAAATGGCATTGTGTGTTCATAGCTTTCGGCCATGGCAGCCGTGTCAATTTACGCCTTCCGAGGGGTACACAAAGTACGTGATCTAGACTATCAGTTGTCGGACTTTCTTTTTGTGTAAGTGGGTTAGATTGTTGACTTTTTGTTCTGGCGATTATGTGCCTCACTCTGGCTGTGTGGGTTCGAATCCTGGGCGGGATTCAACCCCCACAAGTACTAAAAATCTGTACTTTACTAAGAAAGTGTTATCCCAAATATAACATTTGTTACATTGTCATGATATTCTGACGAACTCAGATCTGCACAAAGAATATTTTCTGCACCCGAAACCCTATGAGGGTTCAGTACTGATTAAGGTCAGGGACGTGATAAACAGGAAAGAACAAGCAATGAACCCCTGTATGTACAACTGTGGATGTTTAGTTAAACAACTGAACTAAGATCTCAGAAAGCATCCTAAATACACTGCAACAAAAACTAAATTGAACGTACCATTACCAGGGCATTTACTGCTGAAACAGATTCTTTGCGCTGACACCCGGGGCGTTGTGTCATGCTTGGAGATACTCTTGTCAGTTGTGTTGTAGCCACCGCCTACGGGGAACAGCAAGTATGGACAGTCGGTGTCGGTAAAGGTAAAATCTTCATCTCGACCGGTATTTCTTTTACGAGAGAACGTAATCTCAGTGACACCATTGACCAGTGTTCCCCGAGTATTCAACAGGTTTTGCTCGGCATCAAGGGCAGGTGGGTTATAGCCGGTGATGTGCCTAAGGAGAAAGTACCAAAATCATTGTGAGTGAGTGAGTTGGGTTTAACAGTATTCCAGTTATATCACGTCGTGTCAGGTTTGTGTGGGAGGAAAGCCAGCCGAAGTCATGCAGTTCTTAGACCTTGACCACTTTGGTGACGTTGACCAAAATCGTAACGAAGGTTATAATTGATAACAATCGTAAAATGTTAGAAAGGTACAGACTCCTCTGGCATTGGTATTTACATACTATTCCCATATTTCTTCTAAGACAAGGCTGACTTTTTGCAATCTTATCCTGACAACATGGGTCAGTGATTTGTGTAGTTCAGATTGGATTACGTATAGATGCTTCTTACACCAGGAACTGAAGAAAAGGACGAAAATGGACAGCTACCTGTTTGAAACATGGACACTGGATCCCTCCACCCATCCTATCACGGCATCAGCTTTGTCCTAAAATGAAAAGATTAAGAGCGTCTTAAGTGTTTTCCCCAAAACATAACATCACAACTAACTTATATTAATTAGAAACTTTTAATTTCCATTGGGTTAGGCGTTGGAGGGGGGGCACATGAACGTACCGTAGATCTTCGAATGCACGACGGTTATATTTTAGCTGGTAAGGGAATGGCCAGTCCTAGGAGCATTGACGATAAGTGACATGTGAAGGAAGTGAAGTTCATTTAAGTGGATTTATAATGCTAAATCTCCACGCCACGACACTACACGACACGACACGACGTGACACTGCACTATTTCCCCTAAGACCCTATGTTTCAAAAGGGAGATGAGATACCCCAAAGGAAAGTCTTATTATCCGAATTATCCCGAAAATGATTTACTACTGACAACACATTATGGCCGAAAAACTTACCATCTCACCACTTGGCGAGAACCCAAGACCTATCCATTTCCGCTGGCCATTCAACCTGGCGATGATGGTAAAGGTGACCTCGTCTTTAACAACGTCCACTACCCATTTGACCTGATAGGGACAACTGCTACAGGTAGCAGGCCATTGGCCTGTGCATTTACCTTCCAACTGGTCCGTCGAACCTTACGTCCAAAAACGTGAACAACATTTACTATTATTTAACGAATGTGTTTTCATAACATATTTGTTTCGAAGTCTCCTATTAGCTTTACAAATATATTAAAGAACAATAAGTAGGAATACGAGGTTCTGTCTATGACAGACATTAATGGTATTCCTGTAGTTTAATATAACTATATTCTTGAAACGTGGTACAATGAAACTCTTTTCATCCGGAAATTCCACTTTCAGGGCGATTCCATTAGGAACGTCTACATATACAAAGGGTATTATTTAGTAATTTTGAAATTAAACCATAGTTCTATTAATTCGGACCTCATTGGGAACGCTATTGTCTGGATTTACAGGGTTTCACTTCAAACGGTGAAGGAAAGGAGGAAGAAATAATATCATCCCTTCAAATCACCGACCAAGGATGTTTCAAAATGCAAGTTATTGTAGGTGGTTGTCCAGGCTATGCTAATTTGCAAGTGGCCATGGATACAGCACAACCCTACATGCAGAGAGTAGAGTAGCAATGTATACCTGGCTGCACATCACCCTTTACTATGGGGTAGGAAGTATCAAGGTTGTGTCCTGCAACACTGCCAACAGTCTGCACAGATTGGAAGAACTTCAGTGAATCTTCTTGAAAGGTCTGATTGCTCTCTGTACTGGATGTAACGAGGAAATCGGCAATGACACTTCCTTCCCTGAAGAAGATAAAGCCATCAGTTATACGTGTGCAATTTCGAGACAATAGAAAGTCGGATATTTCAAAATAGCTGCGACAAAAACAACAAATTGAATCTTTTCCATTTCCCGTTCTTGGTATGAACATAAAGACACAAAACATTTGCGACATTTTTTAATTTTGTCATTTGTAACCAAAATGAACAAAATTGAACATTAACAAACCGTAAGTTGATAACTTTAATTTGCTTTATTGTACTCGGTTTCGGCAGAGCATCCATCTGAAATTACCAACAACAAAATTAGTAACATGGCAAATTGACATTGTTCTCGATACAGTAATTCAGTTCCTTCAAATGCACTTTTCTCATTCTGTGTACTGACCATAAAATATAGTTTCCAATTTCTAAAAACTTTATGAACTATTTCATGTATGCTATTCAAAGGAACACCTGATTTTTTTCCATTTTTCACTCTGTCATTGTTAGTGGATATATGTCATGAATTTGTGGTGTAGTATACATACCACTCTAACAATAGCCCCACACTAAAATCATGAAAATTTGTATTTCACAGAATATTATAACCTTACAATACCTCTTTATCTAACTGGCTTTTCAGCAGTTTGAAAACATTTGACAGCTTGTTGGCGTAGTCAGATGTGTACTGAAGGTTGGTAAGACGCAAGGAGGCTGTAAACTCAAACGTTGGTCTTGTAGCTGCAAATGAATGATAGGTTCCTTAGTTTGTTATTGAATTAATTACAGTAGTTTGGAATTATTTCGGTAGCTAAATTTACAGTGGCTCATTGTATAATTGACATAATATTATATGAAGAAAGAAACGGATCTGATTTGATTTTCACTGAAGTTGACTCCTTAATGCTATTATTTTGTATTTAGGATTTGCCATTGCTACCATTATCTCTACGTCATCGGTTACCACTATATGGATTGCCTATAAGAATAAGTGTCCATTACTCCTTGCTTTTGGTATGTATGTTGTTTAACGCTGCACTCAGTAATATTCCAGCTGTAAGCCTGTAAATATTCATGCATACGCAATTGCGATACGGTGACATGAATTAGCTAAGTCAGCTAGTCTGACCACCCAATCCTGTTTGTCGCCTCTTCCGACCAAGCATTGGTTGCGGAAGACAAATTTTGAACCGGATCTTCACCGGGTCCATGCTGATGGTAAGATGATCAGACAGGCATAGATGGTTGATTATATGTAATCGTCATCCAAAGGCGTAGATCGTGACTCTATCAACCAATGAACCGTATAACATTTGTTATTGAAACACCTTACGTACCATTACTGCCACATTTACTGCTGAAACAGATTCTTTGCGCTGACACCTGGGGCGTTGTGTCATGCTTGGAGATACTCTTGTCAGCTGTGTTGTAGCCACCGCCTACGGGGAACAGCAAGTATGGACAGTCGGTGTCGGTAAAGGTAAAATCTTCATCTCGACCGGTATTTCTTTTACGAGAGAACATTATCTCAGTAACACCATCATTAAATGTTCCCCGAGTATCCAGCAGGTCCTGCTCAGCATCTAGTGCAGGTGGGTTATAGCCGATGATGTGCCTGATAAAAGAATATCACATGATAAAAACATGACATCAGGTATGTAAATATTTCTGCAAAAAGAGTACAGTTACATAAAATCCGGTGTGCTAAAAAAGATTAACGCAAAGTGTGCCCACCTGTCTACGTTTATAACTCCAGAAACACAAAACATATTGAAGTCAGTTCTTGTAAGCATACATATCAACAATTATAACTTCACAGCTGCTTATCTAATCATTAACACACAAAAACTGAAGACAAAATATGAAATCAGGGACAAAGTTCAGCGCCTTAATAAAACACAAACCCCACCCATTATACTTCCAGCTAATAAGAAAACAGTAGTCCATTAGTGGGCGTGGCCTAAAAAGTATTCCGTTTATGCTTGATTAGCCAACAAATGCAACGGAATCACTTGCAATTTATGTATACCTACTTGAATCCAGAATGTAAATACTGTATACAACGTTAAATTTGCTATATATAATCATTTAAGATTGCTTCATGAATTATTGTGTTCCGCAGTAATATTCCTTGCATTATTAGACGTTCATCAGAATAGTCCAAAACGCAGATTTTGTACTAACATGGTTTGCCTGTTTCATGGTTTGCCTGTAGATGGCAGCACCAGCAACAAACCAGGCTATCCAGTGTGGTGCCACACAATAAGTGAGGCGAAATATCATAAACAACCAATCTTCAACTGTGTCTCTTACCACTAGCAAAAGGTGTTAGGAATCTATTCTTTGATGGAAATACATGGATGTGACAATGTAATGACAGAATAAAAACATACATACATTTTCTACATACTTATCTATGTTATAGTATTATCTGTTAACAATCCATGTCGATATCATTCAATAACATCGCCAATTACACCAGCAGAAGTCTCTCCTTAATTACTCAGACTGAATTGAACCATACCTATCTGATACGTAAACGTTGGAGCCATCCACCCATCCGATAACTGCATCCGAGCTACCCTGTCAGGGGAAAGAGATTGCAGTATGCTAAATATTTACATGTAACGTTTTCCACAGTGGTGACTAAACTATGCACATCATCCCCTTTGGTATCTCATAATCAAAATGTATGGGTACTCACATGTTACACGATCAAATACTAATGGGTACTCACATGTTACACGATCAAATACTAATGGGTACTCACATGTTACACGATCAAATACTAATGGGTACTCACATGTTACACGATCAAATACTAGGATATAATGAACGCGTTTAAATGTGTATTACCTGACATGATTCTATTAGATAAAACACATAAACCAACATATCGGATTTGTCCTTGCTTCGATGAGAATGAATTGAGAGTTATATACATACAAAATTAGGCAGACAGATTTTCCTTTACCTTTTATACATGCATATATCTACATTAGAAAAGAATTGCGAAATCTGGCGCCACGTTCCTTACTATCAATGTCCGTAACACTTCTAATCCAAAGCTTACAGCAATGACATTATTATTAATAATATACATCTGACACACCTACAAATAATTCATTGACAACACAATACTATACAGTAAACACACATCTTGTCCATTAACTGATAAGATGAAAGTGAGACAAATGAAACCTCGATTCCAGTACGAACGTAATGTGACGTGTTACCTTTACCATCAGAGTTTATGATCAGGCAACCAATCCATTCCTTCGAAAATAAAGTTTTCCTTTGTGACAAGCTTCAAACAAGGTTTTGAATGTGATATAATATAACAGATGCACATGGATAGCTTAGGCCTACCATTCTCCCTGATGGTGAGAATCCAAGTCCAATCCATTTCTTCTGCCCCTCCAACCTGGCGGTAATGGTGAAGTTGACAACGTCATTAGCGACATCAACGACCCATTTCACTTGGTACCTGCAACTGTTACATACGGCTGGCCACTGACCCATACAACCTTCTGGCATCGCTGGACGTTCTTCTGAAAGGTCATTTAGAAGCATCATGAAATGATGACATGATTTTCTTCTGTATGACTATATCGTCGTAGAAATGCAATCGATTGAAATGGTTTCCTTACGCAATCCCCTTACACAATCCCCTGGACAAATTATGGTTCTTTGCCAAGATTTGTTTACTGTGGTAATCAATAAGGCAAAAATACTCATTCGATTGCACATTGTGATGTAATATTTTGTGTCTAACTTACTAGTAATAAATGAGGGTTATAACCTATTCAGTATCAGTCATTCCTAAGGGTAAGTGTTAAGCGTGTATTATAAATCATACAACAATTACAAACCTGGAGGATCATCCGACTTGACTGGGGGGTAGGAAGGGTCAACACTATAACCACCAACATTTCCAACAACCTGGACAGACTTGAAGAACGACAATACATCGCCTTGAAAGGTTTCATTGTTCGTTGCATTGGAAGACGATTTAACCAGAAAGTCGGCGATAATACTTCCATTCCTGGAAGAGACATCAACGATTTAATGAAAACATTGACAAACATTATTTACATTATGTAGGTATGTATGACTAAACAGCCTTGTGTATTCATATCTAGTTTAGCTGACAACAATGAATGCAGCCGTCTCTTTGAATGCTACCATGTTTCATGTCTTCTTTTCTTACATTAAACGTAAATCTCAAAATGTTATCATTGTGTTTTTGTATTCTGTAGAATTGTTCTGAAAATATTGCATACAACATGTTTTTTGTTTTTGTTTAACTGTCTGTGAAGGTACATTTTTTGCATGTCGTTGTTTGTGCATTTACGTGGAGAAGGGTAAAATAGAGTATAATAATGGAACTTAGAATAAGTTCTAGATGCCCTTACCGTAAGTTGATTACTTCAATACTTTTGATACTTTTTGGTTTGAGCAAGCCCTGCATCTGAAAGGGAACATATTTTGATTCAAATATATGCAAACTATTAGAAGTTGATTTTCAAAACAATTGTTTTCATATTCTTTTGCATATCCAACATTACGAACACTCGTGCACAGAAATATATCATTCAATGATAGTTCAATGCATTTGGACTACACAAGAGACAGAGAATATATAAAGAACTCTTTAAAGGAGGCTGAATAGCTTGTGTGAACAAATATCCTATAGTGATCAGTGGCTATGGGATTCTCATGGCTTTGGCTATAACTCGAGAACCAATATGACATTCATTAAGAAATGAGTCTTGGTCAACATACGTATAAACCTGTGTAAATAATGTTGTTATGAAGGAAAGTAGCAAGACCACATGAAACTAAATTAGCATGCAGTTTGTTTTAAAAAAATACTTACGTTGAAACCTTTTTTTCATCCATGTCCTCCACATGCATGCGATCAAGATTACAATGCCCACAAAATGGATAAGTTATTATCTTCGACTCAATTCTGTGTTCTTAGGTACGTGACGTTGTATGCCTCCAGTTTCATCTATGTTTTACCAATGTTAGCCTACATCTGGACACACTTGATTCTCTGCCAATTCCCCATATATTCTCCAAAGTCGTCTTACCTCTTTATCAAACGAGTTCTTCAGTAGCAAGTAAACAGATGACATCTTATTAGCGTATTCGGGTGAGTATTGAAGACTTGGGAACCGCAAAGACACAACAAACTCATATGACGGTCTTGGTTCTGTAAAGAGAAACAAGTCTGTATGTTCGAATACAGCTCGACCAACTTGTGCACTGTTTGCAAAAGCAAAATTATGGATGCAAAACACTGACACTTCCTTCAAATTAAGGGTACATGGCTAATATAATATCAAAGGTGTTTATAGTGTTATCACAAGAATTATCATGATAAAAGATGGCTAGGTTAATACCTTTACTCGCGCATGTACTGCTGAAGCAGATTTTTTGTGCCGACACAGATGGTGTTGTAACGTGTTTGGATACACTTTTGTCTCCTGTGTTATAGTCACCACCCACAGGGAACAGCAAATACGGACAGTCAGTATCGGTGAAGGTGAAATCTTGTATCTGGCTGGTATTTCTTGGACGTGAGAACTTTATCTCAGTGACACCATTTTGTACTGTCCCTCGTTTATCAAACAGGTTGTCCTCCGTATCTATTGCAGGTGGGTTGTAGCCAACTATATATCTGGCAACAAAATATGTAAAATTACGCCTTCAGTTGTACAATGAATACTGTAGTTACCTAAAAGTGTTAAGATGATAGTGTTATTACTTTTTATATACGTGATTAGAATCATCTTATGCAGAAAAGGTTGACACATTCTTATAAAATAACTTGTTATCAATATGTAATTTTTCCACTGTGAATAACATTATTCATACCTGTCTGAGATATAAAAGTCGGAATCATCCACCCATCCGATAACTGCATCCGAGTTACTCTGCAAAAAATCACATCTGTAAGTATCAGTAGGATATTTGCGACGGGAATTAACAGTTTAGTTCAAGTACATTTCACGTTAGTACCTTGTTTAATGCTACTATGTAAAACTATCACTGGATATATCCCATGATATTAAATACAAATCTATTATCCCAAAGTCGCATGGTATATACACATGCATGTACCTCGGTCAACAAAACATAACACCAGTAAATGCAGTAAATCACTATCAATAACATCACATATTTTATTGCAACAGACACATTATGAGTTTAAGCCTACCATTCTCCCTGTTGGTGAGAATCCAAGTCCAATCCATTTCTTCTGTCCCTCCAGCCTGGCGGTAATGGTGAAGTTGACTACATCATTAGCCACATCAACGACCCATTTCACTTGGTAACTGCAGTTGTCGCACACGGCTGGCCACTGACCCATACAACCTTCTGGCATCGCTGGACGTTCTTCTGAAAAGCAATTTCGAAGCATCATGAAATGGTGACTTGAGTCTCTTCTGTGTGTCTATCTGGTCGTAGAAATGTAAACGACTGCAATCGCTTACTTACACAATGCATAAAACATCGACGCTTATAAAGTTTAATAGTTCTATTATTATTACTGGAAAACTTGTTGTACTTTGCCCAGAATTTGTTAAATACACTTTAGTAATAACTAAGGCAAAAATATTCATTCGATTGCACATTGTGATGTTATATTTTATGTTCAACTTACTGATAACAGATAAGGGGCATTACCTATTCAGAATTAGTCTTTCAAAAGGGTAAATGTTAAAAGTGTATCATAAATTATACAAAAATTACAAACCTGGAGGATCATCCGACTTGACTAGGGGGTAGGAAGGATCAACACGATAAGGACCAACATTTCCAACAACCTGGACAGACTTGAAGAACGCCATTACATCGCCTTGAAAGGTTTCATTGTTCGTTGCATTGGAAGAGGATTTTACCAGAAGGTCGGCGATAATACTTCCATTCCTGGAAGAGAAATAAAAAACAAAACAGTGACATGTATTTATGAATGACTAAATAGGCACATGTATTTGTATATAGTCAAGCTAGAAACAATGAATCCAGCCACTGCGTTAAATGTAATATTTTTCATCTCCCTTTCTTCGTATAAACATTTACATTTAAGGTAAATTTCAACATATTATCATTGTGTGTTTTTTTTCTATTCTGCAGAATTGTTCTGAAAATAATACATACAACATGTAAACTGTTTATTTTAAGCCTCTTTTAAGCTTAATTATTGCATGTCCTTGTTTGTACATCCAGGAGTAGGATACATTAGAGTGTAATGGCACTTAGAATAAAATATAGAAGGCCCTTACCGTAAGTTGATTACTTCAATACTGTTGATACTTTTTGGTTTCGGAAAGCCCTGCATCTGAAAGGGAATATATTTTCATTTTAACAAATACACAAGGGTTTTAACTTGATTGTCAAAACAATTGTTTCACCATTCTTTCGCATTTCCAGATACTGTGCACACCACCATCCATTATGTTTTACATGAAAAGTTAACTAAACAAGAGACATATAATATACAGATAACTGTTTAAAGCAGATTGGATTTGTTATCAGATTTTGTGAACAAATATATGTTCGCTTACATCAAGACACACTTGATTCTGTCAAATGCCCATAAAGTCTGCAAAGTCGTCTTACCTCTTTATCAAACGAGTTCTTCAGTAGCAAGTAAACAGTTGACATCTTATTGGCGTATTCGGGTGAGTATTGAAGACTTGGGAACCTCAAGGAGACGACGAACTCATATGACGGTCTTGGTTCTTTAAAGAGGAACGAGTCAATAATTCATGCAAAACACTTACACTTCCTTCAAATAAAGGGTACATGGCTGATATAATATGAAAAGTGCTTATAGTGTCAACACACAAGAATTATCATGATAAAAGATGGCTAGGTTAGTACCTTTACTCGCGCATGTACTGCTGAAGCAGATTTTTTGTGCGGACACAGATGGTTTTGTAGCGTGTTTTGATACACTCTTGTCTCCTGTGTTATAGTCACCACCCACAGGGAACAGCAAATACGGACAGTCAGTATCGGTGAAGGTGAAATCTTGTATTTGGCTGGTATTTCTTGGACGTGAGAACTTTATCTCAGTGACACCGTTTTGTACTGTCCCTCGTTTATCAAACAGGTTGTCCTCCGTATCTATTGCAGGTGGGTTGTAGCCAACTATATATCTGGCAAAAATATATGTAAAATTACGCCTTCAGTTGTACAATGAATACTGTAGTTACCTAAAAGTGTTAAGATGATAGTGTTATTACTTTTTATATACGTGATTAGAATCATCTTATGCAGAAAAGGTTGACACATTCTTATAAAATAACTTGTTATCAATATGTAATTTTTCCACTGTGAATAACATTATTCATACCTGTCTGAGATATAAAAGTCGGAATCATCCACCCATCCGATAACTGCATCCGAGTTACTCTGCAAAAAATCACATCTGTAAGTATCAGTAGGATATTTGCGACGGAAATTAACAGTTTAGTTCAAGTACATTTCACGTTAGTACCTTGTTTAATGTTACTATGTAAAACTATCACTGGATATATCCCATGATATTAAATACAAATCTATTATCCCAAAGTCACATGGTATATACACATTCATGTACCTCGGTCAACAAAACATAACACCAGTAAATGCAGTAAATCACTATCAATAACATCACATATTTTATTGCAACAGACACATGATGAGTTTAAGCCTACCATTCCCCCTGTTGGTGAGAATCCAAGTCCAATCCATTTCTTCTGTCCCTCCAGCCTGGCGGTAATGGTGAAGTTGACTACATCATTAGCCACATCAACGACCCATTTCACTTGGTAACTGCAGTTGTCGCACACGGCTGGCCACTGACCCATACAACCTTCTGGCATCGCTGGACGTTCTTCTGAAAAGCAATTTCGAAGCATCATTAAATGGTGACTTGAGTTTCTTCTGTGTGTCTATCTGGTCGTAGAAATGTAAACGACTGCAATCGCTTACTTACACAATACATAAAACATCGACGCTTATAAAGTTTAATAGTTCTATTATTATTAATGGAAGACTTGTTGTACTTTGCCCAGAATTTGTTAAATACACTTTAGTAATACCTAAGGCAAAAAACTCATTCGATTGCACATTGTGATGTAATAGTTTATGTTTAACTTACTGATAATAGATAAGGGTCATAACCTATTCAGAATTAGTCTTTCAAAAGGGTAAATGCTAAAAGTGTATCATAAATCATACAAAAATGACAAACCTGGAGGATCATCCGACTTGACTAGGGGGTAGGAAGGATCAACACGATAAGGACCAACATTTCCAACAACCTGGACAGACTTGAAGAACGCCATTACATCGCCTTGAAAGGTTTCATTGTTCGTTGCATTGGAAGAGGATTTTACCAGAAAGTCGGCGATAATACTTCCATTCCTAGTTGAGATATCAAAAACAAAACAGTGACATGTATTTATGAATGACTAAATAGACACATGTATTTGTATATAGTCAAGCTAGAAACAATGAATACAACCACTGCGTTAAATGTAATAATTTTCATCTCCCTTTCTTCGTATAAACATTTACTTTTAAGGTAAATCTCAACATATTACCATTGTGGTTTTTTTCTATTCTGCAGAATTGTTCTGAAAATTATACATACAACATGTAAAAACTGTTTATTTTAAGCTTCTGTTAAGGTTAATTATTGCATGTCCTTGTTTGTTCATCCAGGAGTAGGATAAATTAGAGTATAATGGCAATTAGAATAATATATAGAAGACTCTTACCGTAAGTTGATTACTTCAATACTGTTGATACTTTTTGGTTTCGGAAAGCCCTGCATCTGAAAGGGAATATATTTTCATTTTAACAAATACACAAGGTTTTTAAGTTGATTGTCAAAACAATTGTTTTAATCTTCTTTCGCATTTCCAGATACTGCGAACAGCACTAATCAATAATACTTTACATGAAAAGTGAATTAAACAAGAGACATATAATATACAGGTTTAATATACTGTTTAAAGCAGATTGAATTGGTTATCGGATTTTGTGAACAAATATATGTTCGCTTACATCACGACACACCTGATTCTGTCAATTGCCCATAAAGTCTGCAAAGTCGTCTTACCTCTTTATCAAACGAGTTCTTCAGTAGCAAGTAAATAGTTGACATCTTATTGGCGTATTCGGATGAGTATTGAAGACTTGGGAACCTCAAGGAGACGACGAACTCATATGACGGTCTTGGTTCTATAATGAGGAACGAGTCAATTATTCATGCAAAACACTGACACTTCCTTCAAGTAAAAGATACATGTCTGATATAATATGAAAAGTGTTTATAGTGTCAACACACAAGAATTATCATGATAAAAGATGGCATTGGTTAGTACCTTGACGAGCACATGTACTGCTGAAGCAGATTCTTTGTGCGGACACAGATGGTGTTGTAGCGTGTCTGGATACACTCTTGTCCCCTGTGTTATAGTCACCACCCACAGGGAACAGCAAATACGGACAGTCAGTATCGGTGAAGGTGAAATCTTGTATCTGGCTGGTATTTCTTGGACGTGAGAACTTTATCTCAGTGACACCATTTTGTACTGTCCCTCGTTTATCAAACAGGTTGTCCTCCGTATCTATTGCAGGTGGGCTGTAGCCAACTATATACCTGGACAAAATCATATATCATATTACTTCTTCTGATTTACACTGCATACCTCAATTACCTGAAATGTTAAATAAATAATTGCTTTATATGAACATGATAATATTAATCCAAAATGGTTCAGTTATGTTAAAACGAAACAAATAACATAAAATAACATGTTTCCCTCGTGATTAACGCAGTTGACAGTCTCCGTGTTTATTTTACTGTCTTCATAATCAGGGTTACAACATTCAAGGCCTAAGTTAAACTTCCAAAACGTGTTATGGTACACGTGTATAGAACAATTCCAGATTTGACGCGTTAGTGACAAAAAATATGTCTGATACATTTATTTGTATCATGTTTCCCCATGTCAGTTATACACACCTGTCTGAGATATGAATGTCCGAATCATCCACCCATCCGATAACCGCATCGGAGTTACTCTGCAAGATGAATGAAAATGAAGTAGTTTCCACTTATGTCGAATGCTTATAATTAATGCAGCTGTATATAAAACTATCGCTGGATATTTGCAATTATGTTGAATTCAAATCTCGAACCCAAAGTGTGCATGGTCGATTCACATGCATGTACCGAGGTTAACAAAATATGACACGATAAATAAATGCATTCTATCACTACACTATAGATAATAAAGTTCCAGAAAGAAATGTTCAAAGCACGACACTGCATAACAATCCCTTGGATATTTACAATGACATTAGATATCTCGTATATGTTGAATCCAACATGCTGTGGAGTCACTAAACCCTTGTTAACACAGTCTGCAAGATAACATGAGGAAATGTAGGTCCTGTTATTCCCTTTCTTGAACACATGCAAAGGCTTAAATACCATTCTCCCTGTTGGTGAGAATCCAAGTCCAATCCATTTCCTCTGTCCCTCCAACCTTGCGGTAATGGTGAAGTTGACTACGTCATTAGCCGTATCAACGACCCATTTTACTTGGTACCTGCAACTGTCACATACGGCTGGCCACTGACCCATACAACCTTCTGGCATTGTTGTAGGTCCTTCTAAATAAGGCATAAAAATGAGGATGAGATAGCTATAAAGACTGCTAGACACATGGATAAAAAGTAGGTTCAATAGTCCGAAATGCATAAGTGGTGAGATTTGAGATTGGATCAAAGTCAAATCTATTCCAGAAGGTGAACGTTTTGTACCATCAAAATGAAAAATTGGGAAGAATAATGTGAATAAAGAAAGTGACAAAACCCCTGTTCATATTCATGAACAATCTCTGCCAAAAGCAGAGTCGTGTGTATGATTCGGACTGTATCACAAACAAGTGTTGATGAATCACTTCAAAATAGTGGTGACACCATGTGTTCGTCAAAAGGTGACGGTATCCTGCCTAAACAATCCGACCATCTCAACGAATTGGAAAATGACAAACCTTGACTGCTGATCTCTTCAACTATGGGGTAGATGGGATCGACGGCATAGCCAGCCACATTTCCGATAATCCGGATAGATTTGAAGAAGTTGATCACATCATCTTGAAATGTTTCATTATTCGCTGCGCTTGATGTTGATTTTACCAGAAAGTCAGCAATGATACTTCCGTTACTGAAGCAGAGATGACAAACACAGTAAAACTCTTTCTAAGCTTGAGTTAAGCGAGAAATAGGTCAAACAATTTAAGTGCCGTTGGGCATCAAACGATGGTGTTTAAGTGACTTGATAATCTGTATTTATGTGTTAAGTTGCGGGCTTGTAGAGTGTACGTGAACGATGAATGCAGTAAGCGTGTCCAGATGCTCGCTCTTACCGTAATTTGATTACTTCTATACTCTTTATAGTACTGGGTTTCAGCAGATTCTGCATCTGTAAGAGAAACAGTTTCACTTAATCCAGTATTAGCGTATACAGGACTCTTTTTTTATTGCTTACAACTTCTTTTACTCTTTGTCACGACGTTTCAGGGCTACTTCTTGCTCCTTCATCAGGTGAATGATCTCACTAATAGCCTCATCCCGATGTTGATGTCGAATAAAGTCTTTGATAGGCATTTAGAAGTTTGAACATGAATACATGACACTATTTATGGATGGCAGTTTCTTTTATTCTTTGAAGAAGTAGCTCTGAAACGTCGTGACAAAGAGTAAAAGAAGTTGGTATACATAAAAAGTATCATGTATTCATGTTCTTCAAACTTCTAAATGCTTATCAAAGACTTAATTATTAGTGATTAAACAGAAGTATTTTTTTAATATAATCCGAGCAATAGAGTGAAGAAATATTCAATGATATCTTCTATGAACATTGTAAGAAAGCAATACATACGTACTGCGGCTAAGATGGAATAAACATATATATGATTTAAACAGTATTTTATTTCCATTAATGTTCAGATTGTACATTAAATAGCATTACAAAATGGAAAAAGGATTAGCAAACAGGCCAAAAAGGCCTATATTAATGCTTCTCCTAATATTGTACATTATACATGTAGATTGTAATGAAGTCTATAGAGCAGACATTAATGAGTAACACAACATGAAATAAAATGGAAAGCAAGATACCAAATGCATTTTATATTCTTAAGTTGACACAAAACTTACTTAAAGCGGTTTGTTTCAATGATGTAATTGTGAACTGATTTTATAATGTATTCATTGTCTGAGGAAGATGAATCTTCATTGCCGTGGAGTATAGTATGTATGCTGAGCTGGTTAACAAAAAAGTATTTATCAATTCTAAACTTGGCATAGCGTGGACAAGATAGAAAAAAGTGGAAAGCATCTTCTCTATTTAGGCCACATGGACAGATGGGATTATCAATCAGAAATCTGTCAAATAAATGTGATTTTAAATCACTACAACCTAGCCTAAGTCTAGATAAAATCACCTGACATTGCCGCTGGCCATAACTAGCAAACGATGTAAAATTTGCAGTAAGCTTATATTCTCTAGAAATTAATTGCTTAAACCGAGATAAGGAATCTACATTTCTAATATTGATATCAAGTGCATTCCAAGCTTGTATAACAGATGGCAAAAAAGATCGATTATACTGGGATAAACGTCCTGCACTGGTCTGGAAGTCATTAGAAGTACGAAGGTTATATCCAGTTATGCTGGATATATTAGGTGGGACCCATAAAGATAGATATTTAGGAGTTAGCCCATTGACCATTTTGTAAAATATACATAATTTATGGTAATGTCGTCTGTCGGACAGTGAGCATAAACCCGTTTCCCTATAAAGTTTTTTGTGACTGGTTCCTCGTACTACTCCACATATTGTTCGTAGAGCATCCAAGTGTAAATTTTCTAATAGTTTTACTTGTAATATAAACATATATATTACAATGAAACGGACCTTGGAAAGCAAAGAATAACATTCCAAAATTGCAACCTTTTATCGGCAGCTATATGTTTGTACCTTACTATTTAAAATGACGAATATACCAAACATGACATTTACCTCGTTGTCTAACTGGTTCTTCAGTAGCATGAAGACAGTTGACATCTTGTTGGCATAGTCAGGTGCGTAGGTGAGATCGGGAAACCGAAGTGAGGCAAGGAACTCAAATGATGTATCTGAAAAAATATTGAAAATAATATTGAAAATGCATACACTAAAAGCTTAAATGAAACGCAAAAACCATTGCACACAGACTAAAGGGCTACGTACACTAACTACTAGCCATAGGATTTTTATTTTTCAAGATTTATCAACCAGAATTATTTTGATGAATCATTATCGAGCCAGGTCGAACTACACGTATTCAAATAAATACAAGAGACAAGATCCTTCTATATCCATCCATAAGAAATCTCTGTATGAAACCAACTTTATCATGAGCGTGTGTCAATGAGTCACTATCAAATAGTGATGATACCAGGTGTTCGCGAAAGGTACTACCATGGTCAATTGAGCATGACTGAGATGATGTAGTGCCGCTTTAAGGGTATTTTAGATGTATATCACGGGGCGTTCTCAGACTGCGGAAACAAATGCACAAAGTAAAACCCACCAGCAAGGGTATGATGCTGACAAACTGATAATGTTGAAGAGGGTGAATCTCAATCACATTAAAATCAGATCTTAGTTCTCGCTACCGCTCAACAAAGATCTGAGGACACCCCATTACGGGTCACGTCAAAACGACCTTTCGCGAACTTTGACAGACCAAAGGAATGTCTGACTGGAAGTCGACATTAGTCAATCAGAAGACAGGTTTCTCGTGCTTTACGGCACAAATTTAAAATTGGCGACTACGCTTCCGACTGTCACTTTGATCTGGTAAGCGACGCTCTGATTGGTCGGAAGAAGGTCGTTCAGACGTGACCCCTAATCGGATGTCCTCCGATCTTTGTTTAGCAGTAGCGAGAACTAAGATCTGATTTTAATGAGATTGGGTGAATCTATTATTTCTGCAACAAGCTGACACGCCGCAAAATAGTGTTCAAAGCGTCCCTAAAATAACATAACAGTGTCTCATAGAATCACCTGTGTCACACGAAACAAATTGAAGCAACAAATCCCCAAATCTACACAGCTGCCATTGCGAATCACTGTTACTGTATTTCCTTATCTGACAAAAGAAACACTTTTTGGATCGTCACAGTCAAGGAAATATATAGTTCTCTTTTTTTCGTATAATCAATGGAATCAGTACAGCACTTACATTACTTATAATACTCACCTTCTTGATCGGCATTCTCAACTATTAGATAGGCAGGGTCCACAGCGTAGTCACCAACTCTGCCATTGGCCTGAATAGACTTGAAGAGCGTCTCTGTATCGCCTTTTAAGGTCTCTTCGTTAGTTGTATTGGACGATACTTGAAAGTCAGCAATGACGCTTCCCGATCTGGTTAGGAAATTAATAATTGGTTATTATCATTATTAGTGAAATGTTTTGTATTGGACTCCAATATTTAAACATGCATTACTAGTGTACCATATATGGGCTTTCTTTGCTTATGTAGTTTAGTAGTTCGAAAACAAGTTCACATTAAAGATGGGACTCTTTTCTTGAGCTTCAGTATTACCACTTCCTGTGGTTGATTGGATGTTGTGTACGGTGCTGCCTACGGTATATCACTGCCTTACGGCATACTCAAGTCTATGCCAGGTAAACCAGTGGTTGACAGTATGAGCAACAATCCACGGGGTACACTGGCACACAATCGGGTCATCATAAGTCAGATCTTACAACAAGCAGGGTTACTTGCAGTGGAAACCTGTGCTGTCCGATATCTCAAAGATAACATCAATACAAGACTTAGTTGTGTGGACGTTAATCAAACAGTATATTAACATTTAGTGAGTGAGTGAGTGAGTACGCCGTTTCAGCCAAATGCCAGGGTTATCGATGTGGGGGACACCAGTAATGGGCTTCTCACATTGTACCCATGTGGGGAATCGAACTCGTGTCTTCAGCGTGACGAGCGAACGCTTTAACCACGAGGCGACCCCACCATCCCATATTAAAATTGAAGATATATTGAAACAAACAAAGTGTTTTAATGACTTCGTTGTGTACTGATCACTTGTTCTAAAAATATTGTTTGAAATAAACTTTTATAATCATCTTACTGCACTAATTTGGTGACAGGTACATGTATGGCGCATTTACTGACATGTTATCTACATACCTTATATTCACAACTTCAATGGTGTCAATAGTTCCAGGTTTGGAAAGCTTGCTCATCTGAAAGTAATAGAGATCTCAGGGTAAGTAGCAATACATATGGTAGATATTTTAGTGGCGTTCAAATACTATAATTATATATAAAGCGACAAAACCCTTTCCATATCCAATAGAAATCTCTGCAGAGTCGATTGTACAATTCCGACTGTATCATGAGCATGTCTTTATGAATCACTATTAAATAGTGATGATACCAGGTGTTCGCTTTACTCCGTGTCTTAATAGTCATTTACTACCAAAAGTGTATTATAGTTTAGAAAGAGCAATGTTTTCAGAAAACAGAGCAGAACAAAATCGAATTTCGTTACCTCTCTTTCCAAAAGCCCCTTCAGGTTCCTAAATGCATCCGACGACTTGTTGGCATATTGGGGTGAATACTGGAGATTTAAAAACCGCAGTGAGGCAACGTACTTCAGTGATGGTTGAGGAGCTGTGGTGAATAAGGAATTTGTTCTCAATGAACGTTATTACTATCTCTCGAAATGATATACCATTTACAAATGGGTAACCACATGTAAGGAACGTCAGTACTTCCCTACGTTGCCCATCACCCGAATACATACGGCGATATGCTGTGTAGTAGTCATTCCTATTTATTTATTTAATGATTGAGTATGGTTTCTATGCCGCTTTTAGCAATATTCCAGCAATATCACGGCGGGGGACACCAGAAATGGGCATCAAACATTGTTACCAGGGGTATCGAACCCGGGTCTTCGGCTACCCGGTCGCCCTGTTTTTAAATAGTGAATGAAGCCGTGTATAACTCATGGAAGTCAGATTCCGTGGATGAATTTTGTGCGAAGCCCTACCGTTGCAGAGTAATTGGGTGATGGCTTGGAGGCACGAGTTGCACAAGAAATATTGTGTCATCTGAGCACTCACTAGTCTGAGCACAGACTTGCTTCCCTCTCTCTTGACCAGACCAGCTTGATTCGTTGGTTAAACATAGCGAATACACTGATTGGCGGTCGGATATAACCAAGGGTAATGGAGGACCTACTGAATGCAAATCCTCGAAATATGACCATAGATTATAGTTTTTTGTACTCAAATAAATTCCAGCAGAATGTAAACGTTTTACCCATGGAATAACTTGCTTCTCAGAGCAACATAGTATTTACTTCAATGAATGAAAAATTAACTTTTAGTCATACCGCCATTACCACCAGAACTTGCACAGGTGCTGCTGAAGCATATTCTCTGAGCGGACACCTGGGGCGTGGTTGCGTGTTGGGAGATGGCCAGACTTGATGAGTCATATGCCCCGCCCACTGGAAACAACAAGAACGGACACCCGGTGTCGGCATCGGTGAAGGTGAAGTCCTGAGGCTGACTGGTATTTCTTTTACGGGAGAACTTTATCTCAGTCACTCCATTGGTGAGTTGTCCTGATTTATCCACTAAGTTATCCACTGTGTCAATTTGTGGGGGACTGTATCCTGTGATGAACCTGAAAATAATGTTTGTTAATGCTTATATAAGATCAGATTTTATCAAACAACATTCTGTATTTTTTTGCGGTTTTACCAAAACAGTCTTCATTCATATCCGATGAGTGTGTTCAAGAAGATATAATATTACATAACTGTTCATTTATTCATACAGTTGAATACATCATATTATTCAGAGTAAATTACCTCATTACGGCAACCAGAGTGAGTGAGTTGGGTTTAACGCCGTTTTTAACAATATTCCAGTTATATCGCGGCGTGTCAGCTTAATGTGGGAGGAAAGCCCGAAGTGATGCAGGTCTCAGACGTTTACCACTTCGGTGAAACCCACGAGCACGGGTTTGGTCCTGACAAACCTAGAAACATAATCGGGGCGAACCGGAATTCGAACCCACAATCATAGGTTTCTGACGTGCCCAACGGACGCAACTCTGCACAGCGAATCGCGGCGCCTTAGACGACTTGGCCACCCGTGCCCCACGGCAACCAGAAGAGAACTTGTTACTGTAGGAGAAATTGTTTGCGTGTGTATGGTTACTGAAATATATAGAGATTATTACAAGAAGGACGTGTTTGTGGACTGCGATTCGAATCAGCATACAGCTTATCACCTCCAAACAATTGTTAGATGTTTGTTCGTTGTTTTACCCCGAATTCATCAGTATTCAAGTTATATGATGGGAGCCTCTCGACAAGAGAAACTAGTGAACTGAACAACGTGTCTCAACGTTGGGCATGACCAATCACCGAGCCTGATCGCCCGATCCGTTATGTCGCCTCTTACGACAAGCATAACTGATACGGTTTCTGAGGATCGCATAAAAAGAGGTGAGATGAAATGGGGTTTAACGTCGCGTCCATGATGATTGCACTTATATAGCGACGTGCATGCACGTGTGTGTGTGTGGCTGCTTGTACTAGTCCGGACTGATGCCGATTTATAGTGCTAGCACACTGAGATACCATGCCACAGTTTAACATGAATACCCCACTCAGACACAGTATACTGACTCCGAGCCGACCAGTCCTTGTTTTAGCCCCTTAATGCCGAGCGCCAGTCAGGGTAACAACAAGTACCATCTTTTAACGTCTTTTGATATGACGCGACCGGGGATCGAGCCCCGGACCTTCCGCTCTCCGGGCGGACGCTCTACCACTAGACCACGGAGGCGGTCTCGCATAAAAAGAAGAATCTTAGAATGATCCCAATAACCGGTAGTTCCTATCATCTAAATTAACCAGGACTTCTGAATCCGAAGTATCGGCTCATAGTTACCTACCTATCAGAAATGTGAAAATCGGAACCATCCACCCATCCGATCACAGCGTCGGAAGAAGACTAAAATGTAAAGAAGAATATAAATGAAAAATAATAATAATACGCAGCTCAATAACAAATAATGCCGTGCACAACACTTTGGTGAAGGCTTTGATAGAAGCATTTAGAAGCTGGTAGAACATGAATACATGACACTTTTTATGGATAGTAACTTCTTTCATTCATATCATCTACCACAAAGGACATCGTGACTACCTTATTGCTTGTGTCACTATAGCCAGATCCTTGTCAGCACTACACCTCCGGTATAATTAATTAATCCTTTCCTGTTAATCTTATTGGCTTCGTCATAACAATGCTATCTTAATCCTGGCATGCCCTCATCTGGCCTACACCTTATATCGCCTACACCTCATATAGCCTTCACTAAATACAAATGGTTACTTCCACACCCCTGTTGTGTAGAATGGTACTGTCCATTAACCCATTAATGATTTCATTCATTAATATGAATTAATGACCTGAGTACATGTTTTCATAGTGGTACTGGTCCTTGAGCTTGTTTTGACTGTTTATACAGGATTACTGTTATAATCCGCTTTGATCATTTAACAGGTCTACTCATCTCAAAAGTTTTGTAAGTGTGTATACATTACCTTACCTGATATAATCCAATCTGAGCATTTTAACAGGTCTACTCATCTCCAAAATAATGTATATATATATACCTTAGTAAGTGCTATTGTTTCTCTTTACTTTCATCGGGGCGGTCGGGTAGCCTAGTGGTTAAAGCGTTCGCTCGTCACGCCGAAGACCCGGGTTCGATTCCCGACATGGGTACAATGTGTGAAGCCCATTTCTGGTGTCCCCCGCCGTGATATTGCTGGAATATTGCTAAAAGCGGCGTAAAACCATACTCACTCACTCACTCTTTACTTTCATCAACGAAATAGCTTTCACAATGTTAACAGGATCACCTCATCTCCACCATTCATCAGTCATTTACATTCTTTGTTATCTTGTTGGAAGAGTTCATTTTACTTAAGGGATAAGGGTACAAGTGTGATGTGCACTCATCCATAAATGTGTTTTGATAGTAGTGTAGGCGATATGAGGTGTAGGCCAGATGAGGGCAGGCCTTAATCCTTTCCCATCGGCTTCGTTATTATTTTGTTATCTTTGTACACTAATCCTATATCATTGGCATTGTCATCATGTTGTTATCGTTGTACATTCATCCCACCTTGTGTTGTGTAAACATCATGATTTACATATTTATGATAACATTGGATGGAGATGGCTATTATAACATGCAGTAGCATACAAGTACCCCACTACACACGGACGACAAAGCATCTGAACGGACTAATTATCAGTAAGAAAGCAAAACGTAAACATCGGTCGGAAACACCGTATAACTTGTGTCAAAACGGGAAACTTGAGTTTAATCCCTTATTTGTACGGTTAATATCGGCTACGTTGACGACAAACATCTGTGAAACGGTTGATGTTCACAACAAGGCTGTCGACTACCTTCGGCAAAAAACATGTGGGCGAAACAATACTATCTGCCTAGTTCACTACTAAGCATTGTGCATTGAAATGCTAATTTATTGACTTGACTTCTTGATGGTTTGCAAATTAAGTCGTACACAATTTAGGCAAAATTTTGGTTTTCTTTCCGACCTGATGTAGGTTATTTATTCTTCTGTAGCTTATAATCATTCCCTTTGTATGGCGAAAACATCATGTTTGGAAATTACCAACCATTCTCCCATTAGGTGAGAATCCAAGCCCTATCCATCTCCTCGCCCCGTTCAGCCTGGCGGTGATGGTGAAGTTGACCATGTCATTGGCCACGTCCACGACCCAGGTCACCTGGTAGGGGCAGTCGTTGCACGTGGCTGGCCATTGACCGGTACATCCCGTTGGAAGTTTTGTCTTCTCTGGAAATATGCGATCATAACGTTATTTCCTGTTCAACATTCAATTGTTAAAATATCAACCAAAAAGACAGATAATCGCTATTAGAAAGCCCTGCATAAAAGCTATATTACGTAACGAAAAACTACCTGTTAACTTTTCATTCCGCAAAAAAGGACCTGACCTCATAGTATGTCTATGATGACATATATTATGTCAATATTTCGAACATATGTTTACAGACAGTCAAACAGTTGAAATGTGTATTTAAGGTAACCACTGAAACCACTGGGAAATGTTTACTTCGGTAATGTTGGTCTTCAGCAACCCATCCTTGTCGTAAGAGGCGACTAAGGGGAACGGATGGTCAGGCTCACTGACTTGGATGATACATGTCATCGTATCCCGATTACGTATATCGATGCTCTGGTGTGAGTCATCGGATTGTCTGGTCCAGACTCGATTATCAACAGACCGCCGTCGTATAGCTGGAATGTTGCGGCGTTAAACAACAATTAAACAAACTTCAGTATCGGTATTGCCTTTCATAAGCATGGAGGCCTGACAATGACGTAAAACATTGTATTTCAAACACAAAACCGTTTCAAAAGATCAGAACATGTAAAAACCTCTGAAGTTTATAGTTGCAGCGCCCCTGTTCGGCCTGTGACCATGATACTTCAGCTCATCTTCATTGTAGTACTTTGGATTCGCAGCCTTTCCAGCTTCGAGCCCCGATCTCGGGATGTGCACATACATCCCGCTGTCTTGCCCTCTTGCCCAGATCACAGACATAGGGACCTCGTCAATACTGTAGTCAGTCCTCTCGGTGGCTGAAATTGAAAACAAGCTATGTTCTGAAATCTTGCTGACTGAACGCAAAAAATATGTTTATCAATGAAAATTCTACAAAGTTACTATTCCAGTATGGTGAAGTTCTATCGGGGGTACGGACGACAACCCTCTGACTGGAGTTCATTCTCAGTTCCAGGATCAAATCTTCTTTTGTCTTATACCAATGGATAATATAATACTTTGTACATCAACTGATGCATTGACACTGCATATATATACCCACCAGTGAGTTTCTTCCTGAACAGGATAACAGTATAACCGTTCTCCTCAAAGCCGAGAGCAGCTGTGAGACTGTTATTTCCACCATAGAAGTCATCATGTTGAGGGGTGGACCTGTCCCTGGTGTAATAATCTCCCACCCTGCTCCTCATCCCCCGGGCAGACCCGATCACCATATCCGTGCAGTCCATAGGGTGTGTGCGGGCTGGATGATCAGAAATACCTCCTGTTATTTATCTGAAGTTTCGCGAATCTTGAAATATGTTTGTTGAAGAGGAGACATTCCAAATCGAAAAGAATCACAATAACCTGTAATGTCCCATAACCTGCTTATTGTCATAGACGCGTTATCACAACTGAAGAAAGGTGTAAAGCTGCGTATAGCACGTCACTCACCTATGAAATCACACAGTGTCATTCCATGGAATAAGAGTTTATAAAACCGTATAGAAGTTATAAAACTTAATGAATCCCCATAAGCACGATACTTACAACCTTCCTTGTTTCCGCGAGTTACAACGCCTGAAACTCCAGGCCTAGTTTCACTTTCTGGAGTAGGTTCGCCCTCGGGCCTGGGTTCGGCTTCTGCGCTGGGTTCGACTTCTGCACTTGGTTCGCCTTCTGCACTGGGTTCGGGATTTGGTGTGCCACCTGTAAAAGAGGAAGCTCTTATGGTACATGATGGCAATGCCAAACCGGATGTAGATTCCGGCTCTGGTTCCTGTTCCGGTTCAGATGTAGATTCGGGTTCTGCTTCATGTTCTGGTTCAGATGTTGATTCGGGTTCTGCTTCATGTTCTGGTTCAGATGTAGATTCCGGCTCTGGTTCCTGTTCTGGTTCAGATGTTGATTCCGGCTCTGCGTTATGTTCTGGTTCAGATGTAGATTCGGGTTCTGCTTCATGTTCTGGTTCAGATGTTGATTCCGGCTCTGCGTTATGTTCTGGTTCAGATGTAGATTCGGGTTCTGCTTCATGTTCTGGTTCAGATGTTGATTCCGGCTCTGCGTTATGTTCTGGTTCAGATGTAGATTCGGGTTCTGCTTCATGTTCTGGTTCAGATGTTGATTCCGGCTCTGCTTCATGTTCTGGTTCAGATGTAGATTCGGGTTCTGCTTCATGTTCTGGTTCAGATGTAGATTCGGGTTCTGCTTCATGTTCTGGTTCAGATGTTGATTCCGGCTCTGCTTCAGATTCTGGCTCTGCATTTGTGTTTGGTTGTGCACCAGGAAAGTTCGGGAACGACTGACATCCTGATCTGAAATCTGAATAAGAAAACCTTCACTATCTATCCATCCATCCATCTATCCATCCATCCATCCATCCATTCGTCCGTCCGTCTTTGTGTTGCTGTCTTACCTGTAGGTTTCCATCCAATGCCTACCCAGGTAGTGCTCTTCACTTTCATCACAACCTCCAGTTCTTGTTCAGCCTGGAAGGTAGTGAAACATTCAGTTTCAATGCAGTAGTACAATTCCTCTAACGAGTGTACTTGATCAATTGAAAACAATGAATCATTACGAAAACCCGAAATGCGAATGATAACATTTACAGTAAGGTACCAGTCTCATAATCACTCTACCGTTATTTCTCTGTAGTACAGTTCATACTCAGGGCTCAAGGTTCTCATCTCGTACTGACTGTAGTCAATATTCGTCGTGGTCACCTTGGACTCTAGAAATAGATAGGGGTTAAATACAAATGCAAACTTATCTTCGTACATGTCTTGCAATAACAAGCATATGCTATGGGGTTTTTTCCAGCTGGAAGCAAGTTACACATTATTTTGACACGATTGATCGATGACCGAATATGTTCATTTTCCAGATATATGTGGATGTCTCATTTCCAATGAACTTTGCAGGTACAAACGTCACTCCAACATGACATACGCATTGTCGATGGAATGAAACCCTGTCGATTCGTTTAATAAATGCAAATAGTTGATATCTCGATTGAAACTAAAAAGGGAGAGTTGTTTGATTGTCTTTGCCGTCAAAGACCTAATACGATGAACACTTTAGAATGACCCCTCATATCATATAAATATATAAGTTTACGATAGTTTATCTTGGAATGTTCTTCTCAATATCTATGGGCAGATGGACATGTACTTACCCTGCTGACAGTTCTTGCCGAACCATCCCACGTCACAGTAGCACTGAAAGCGAGGGTAGGACGTCGCCTGGGTGTCCTCACATTGTCCATGTCCGCCACAATCACTGTCTATTTCACAGTCATCTGAATGAATGGTGAAACCGTGTTAGAAACACACACACACACACACACACACACACACACACACACACACACACACACACACACACACACACACACACCACACACACACACACACACACACCCCACACACACACACACACACACACAACCACACACACACACACAACCACACACACAACCACACATCACAACACACACAGAGATCCGCACACACAGACACACAGATCCGCACACACACACACACACACACACACAAACACACACAACCATACACACACACACACACACCACAACACACACAGAGATCCGCACACACACACCCCACAACACACACGCACAGAGAGAGAGAGAGATCCATACACACACACACACACACACACACACACACACACACACACACACACACACACACACACACACACACACACACACACACACACACACACACACACAAATAAACACACACACAAAATGCCATGCACCAGCACCCTTATTTACAACCCCACGACTCTCATACCATCACTCCCTTGAAGCAAACACTTACATCATACTTAGAAAATATCACTGAAGTAACTGGCATGTTGGAATTGTCGAAAAAGAACCCGGCCTGGTAAAGTACATTACAATATGTGCTTCACTGTTACTTGATAAACCAAATGATTGAAAACAGTCGCCAAGCTACAATATCATATCAGCCCTTCCATACCTTTGTACTGGCAGAGATCCCCCTTGTACAGATTGTTACAGGAACAGAGGCCATCTTTCCATGTTCCTTGCCCGGAGCAGTTTGTCTTCGGATCAGTATTGTTATCTGTATAATATACCGAAAATACACCTTGCACTTCAAAAGTTTCTATGTATCATTAGGATACATCATATAGTGGATCTTAACCACAATTCAATATATTACAAGCACAAGTAAAATGATTCGATAAAGCAATTCCAATTAAAGAAAGAATTTTAAAAAAATTTAAAAAAAATTCATTCAATGATAGAAAAACGAATGAATGAAAAGTAAATGTTCAGTGTTGACGCAATCGTACGATTAAACATAAGTCATGAAAGCATGGTCATAGTTATGCTACAATTACTTGCCGCATACCTTTAACGATGTTTATGTCGGCGCAGCTCCAGAAGAGATACTGGGAGGCACACGATCCCCATTCCAGGGCCTGTCTGATCATCCTAAGAGTACAGCCGTCACACTCGATGTCGGGGAGGGTGATTGTGTACTCCACCATGCTGCAAGGAGAAGTCACAATTGTTAATATCCATGTCATTCATTAATTAAGTGTGCCAAAATTAACTTTTATTTTCATCATATCTATGTGTTTTCATTAAACCAGAATAATTTCAGGACAATGTCCGCCTCTGAGCTACAGGGAAGTTTACATGTCCCATACAACTGTCATAATACTGAGGTAGCCTCTCAGAACCGGCCCAATGTCAAAATGTTCTGTGTTTTTTTCCAAATGTCTGTAATTTAATTTGAATTACGTTGTGTCGTTGTATCCGATGAGGTCGACAGTGCCTCCAGTGTTTGTCCCTGTCTCCGCTGTTGGCTCTCCTGCAGGCTCTGCTGTTGGTTCTCCTGCAGGCTCTGCTGTTGGCTCTCCTGCAGGCTCTGCTGTTGGTTCTCCTGCAGGCTCTGCTGTTGGTTCTCCTGCAGGCTCTGCTGTTGGTTCTCCTGCAGGCTCTGCTGTTGGCTCTCCTGCAGGCTCTGCTGTTGGTTCTCCTGCAGGCTCTGCTGTTGGCTCTCCTGCAGGCCCTGTCGTTGGTTCTCCTGCAGGCTCTGTCGTTGGTTCTCCTGCAGGCTCTGCTGTTGGTTCTCCTGCAGGCTCTGCTGTTGGTTCTCCTGCAGGCTCTGCTGTTGGTTCTCCTGCAGGCTCTGCTGTTGGTTCTCCTGCAGGCTCTGCTGTTGGTTCTCCTTCAGGTTCTCCCGTAGGCTCTGGTACACTCCCAGGGGACGACATGACCACACCATCCTGTTGGTACCGAACGACCTCCCTGTTACTTTTGTCCAGAACTTGAAGGTAAAATCCACCCTGATAACAAATAAGATCAAGTTAATAATAGGAAGTAGGTGAAACCTACATGTAAGAGCTTCAACAAGAAAACACTAACCCCGGCACAGCAAAATGTGGCCAAGTAGTGAGATAGTGAAGGAAACCCAAGTGATAACCATAAGTGCGTTTCAGGCGACTGATATTGTGATTGACTAAAAATATAAACGGGAACACAGTTGTGCAAAAGACGACATTTCTTGATCCCCGACAACAACCGAATTTTCTGTACTTCGGACAAGGCATTTGTCATCGGAGGAGACGGACGTTGGGTGATTTTACACAACAAATAGTTGTCAATTAATTTTCCTGTACATGTGCGACCTTTCATATAACATTACGTTATCGGATAAAAAACAAACATGTTCAATGAAGATTCTTTATAAATCTAGCTGAAAACGGGAAAAGCTACCCACACTGGTTAAGGATGTCATTGGTTGCGTTTTTTTTAATTACAGTTTTTTGTTATCCGATTCCCCTTCAATATGTGCGTTCGTAGATATTTGCTTTTGAAACGAATTAAGTCCTAGCTAATCAAATATTTTGTCAAATCTTCCTAGTCAAAATTATTGCCACCAAGTACACCTGATACCAACCAAACATAAACAGGGATGAGGGATGAGGTGGGAGTAGTCTAGTAGTAAAAGCGTTCACTTGGACACTGCGGTCATGTCACTGATTCCCCACATGGTTGCAACTTGAGAGGTGTCAGCTAGCCGCGATGATTATGAAATATTGTTAAAGGCGGCATAAAAGTTTACTCACTCAGGCTCTCATACCCACCGATGAATTTCTCAACAAGGAGATAAAGCCAATCATAGAAGCATGCTGCAGATTTTTAAATGTATTATTACTCTATGAAAATGTGTAATTAGTCATAACATGTTTCTCATAAAGCACTTAACGTGTTCATTGTGAAACGGGGGCACGGGTGGCCCCGTCGTCTAAGGCGCCGCGATTCGCTGAGCAGAGTTGCGTCCCTTGGGCACACCAGAAACCTATGATCGTGGGTTCGAATCCCGGTTCGCCCCGATTATGATTCTAGGTTTGTCAGCACCATACCCGTGCTCGTGGGTTTCACCGAAGTGGTAAACGTCTTAGACCTGCACCACTTCGGGCTTTCCTCCCACATTAAGCTGACACGCCGTGATATAACTGGAATAGTGTTAAAAGCGGCGTTAAACCCAACTCACTCACTCACTCACTCATTGTGAAACACGGCTTTCGGAAACAAACCTTTTTGGAAATAATTCACAATAGTTTTGATACGAACAATTTTAACGCAGACAAGAAATTCAAATAAAGGCGTGACAATTGTACGAGGGCTCCTAGACAAGGTCAGCCTTGGGGCTGTTATAAGGGTAACGGTATTTTTCAGGGCATTATCATTTGCAGAAGCCCGAGGTTTTCTGTTAAAAGACCGAGGGCTTCTGCAAATGATAATGCCCTGAAAAAGAGCGTTACCGTTATTATAGCTAAAATGGATGGAATTTGTTATCAAATAAAAAGAAACAACGACATCGGTTTTGAAACATTTACTGCAATCAACACGAATGTCACTGATCTTTTCCAAATATGGAAACGTCATAGAACAAACCAGATGACGTCACTATAATACGTGACGTCATTTTCTCTACCCTATGCTTGATAATGGCCCGTCGTCAAGCAATATGAGGGCATTATCAAGTAACAGTGGCCCGCTCATTTCTGATAACGTGCGGGCGGTTTAATGATAATTCTATCCATTTTAGCTGTAATAAATGTTATAAAGAGCTCGACATTGAATTGAGATGTATTACCTGATGCGGATATGCCAGATGCCAAGTCACCTTCACTTGAGAGCCAGCTTTGAATTCAGTCACTGGACCAAAACCTGTATGAAATAGAAGGTAATTATAACAGAGATAAGAACCCTGCACAAATACTAACTGGCAATATATTTCGATGTGTTCGTTATGCGTCGTTTGAGTACAACATCTGTAGATAATTTGTATTGTATTGGAATTGGTGACACAGACCATTTGTCATTTAATTCTAAAATATATGAAGAATTCAGGGATGTATGTATCGCAGCTGAGTTTGAAGTATTCGTGATGTAACATGCGTCTCATAACCGGCATACGTAAAATGTGATTTGGGGAATAATATCCAAATGGCGGAAGGTACACTTTGGCGTTCGTGTTTGCATATTTTCTAAAATTATTCTAAACGATCCTAGCCTTATTCGCGATGTTTCATAACTATCAATGGTACTTTGATGAAAAGAAGTATAGAAATCTAACCGTGATCATTAATATCCTATTTTTGAAATTCAATTCCCCCAGTAAATATCCGATGTTCAGATTTTTAAACAAACAGTAAATAATAAACGCCGTGAATGGTGATTTGGTAATGTATCCCAAATGTCGAGATTTACGATGTACCTAATTTTCAGAGGTCACTTTCAATAATTCTGCTTTGCCTAAAATGACAGCGGATAATATCACAGGAAAGAGAATTCAAAACTGTGAAGTGTATAAGTGTGCGTGATGTAATTCACTTGTGTTCGACTTCGAAGCGAATGTTGAAGGGAAGGGACATGTATGTCGTTGTAGCATCCAGGAGGTAACACTATAACCATAACGTTCAACGTAGGTGAACATTCGACTCAAGCACGAGCAACTTCACAATGACTAACGATCAGGAAAGTATTCCGTCATAATCTGACTTCTGTGCTCTGTTCCACAAAGGGGCGGTCGGGTAGCCTAGTGGTTAAAGCGTTGGCTCGTCACGCCGAAGACCCGGGTTCGATTCCCGACATGGGTACAATGTGTGAAGCCCATTTCTGGTGTCCCCCGCCGTGATATTGCTGGAATATTGCTAAAAGCGGCGTAAAACCATACTCACTCACTCACTCACTGTTCCACAAAGCGATCGTAATTCTACGACTGTCATAAGTCCATGTTAAAGTATGGGAGTTACGGTCGTCTTAGAGCTACGATCGCTTTGTGGAACAGGGCCCAGGTCATCATCATGGAGTAGCCTCACGGGCCTGGAATTCGATCTCACACATATGTTTGATACCAGTTATTTCAAATGGGTTTCTCACTCTCAGGTGTGTAAGAAAGATGTATAAAATCAAAGCGCGTGCTTATGTACTGCAGGTACAGGTTTCACTAACAATTATTGAAAACTCACATAGTGATGATAGATCACTGAGAGGAGCTTATGCACACCGATTACCCCAGCAGCCCTGTTGCTAGGCTGACGTCACATGGCATTGTTTCGCTGGTGGATCTTGCAAAACGTACCACAAATTTCGTCATAGGGTATTGTGACATCATTGTAAACTATGTGGTGCAAGGCCCCGTTCCACAAAGCGATCGTAGCGCAATGACAGTAAGTATAAGTATGGGAGATACGACAACTTTAGCGCTAAGACAGCTTTGTGGAACGGACCCCTGCATTCTAAAGGTAGGCCGTTGTATGATATTAAAGAAATACGTGTCATCTTTTAACGTGTTTGAAGTATTATTCTGTTACACTCAATTGGATAATGCTGTGGATCGCGTAGATGTCTGCATATTCGCACACGAAAGTGAAATTTTAAATAAGTTATAAACGGCAAGTTATAATTAAACTACTAAACGAGCTCCTGTATATATATATACGTTAGTATATATGTTACTACTTCATGTCCGTTATTCAGTTATGGCCTGATGAGACTCGTACGTAATACGAGTTGAAAGCGCTAGTAAATTAAAACTGTGTTCAATCTTACTCCACCTTTTTAATTATTACTATATATATATATAAGATAGCTACGATAAATCGCAAAGAACAATGAAACGTGGTCTATTTCACGATAAAATATTGTCCTATCGTGACGTCATTTCTGGAGATTCGAACATGCGCTCGAATCTTGATGACGTCGTGTAATGGACGACATTATTTTTCGGAGGGGAGTGTCAAGTGAATTGTTCCCATAGAAACACAGATAAACGCGATGGCCGAACGATCGCATCCAAAGGCGGGAGAGATATGACAATCGTCATTGGGAGAGAGGTGCAGGTAATCGACGTGAGGATTGTGAGAATGAACGGGAAATACCCACCTGTGCATAAAATGAACTAGTCCGACATAGCCGAGGTCGGATTCTATTTAGGGAGTCATTATTATTAAAGTGGGTAAATATTTGTTAAGCTTGTACATTTCTTAAAGAGGCTGTACATAATGTTGATATATCATATAAGAAGTAAACGACTCGTGGTCGTTGTCTATCGTTCAATAAAACACTGCAGGGGAGAGGGGGCATTAAGACAATATAAAAACATACACACACAAGGGTTGGTTGGTTGGTTGGTTTGTTGTTTAACGCCGCACTCGGCAATATTCCAGCTATATGACCGCGGTCTGTAAATAATCGAGTCTGGACCAGACAATCCAGTGATTAATATCATGAGCATCGATCCACGCAATTGGGATTGATGACATGCATCAACCAAGTCAGCGAGCCTGACAACCCGATCCCGTTAGTCGCCTTTTACGACAAGCATAGTCACCTTTTACAGCAAGCATGGGTTGCTGAAGACCTATTCTACCCCGGAATCTTCACGGGTCACACATACAAGGGACCCAAGGGTAGCAGAATAATACAGGCTTGTATGAATTAATTAATGTTAGGGAATACGAATCAGAGCTCGGTACCTCTGATGTGCTCGCTGACTTGGTTGATGCTTGTCATCGATCCCGATTGCGTGGATCGATGCTCATGATATAAATCACTGGATTGTCTGGTCCAGACTTGATTATTTACAGACCGCCGTCATATAGCTGGAATATTGCTGAGTGCGGCGTTAAACAACAAACCAACCAACCAATCTAATGTGCTACCTGCTGACATTTCACACATGCCTCAGGACAACTGTTTGTATCTGGTTCAGTTCTGGCGTTCGAAGGGGTAAGTTTTGAGTCCAAAATTAAACACTGTGATACAAAGTGCCCCTTTCAGGCTTTCGGAAAGACAGTTACATAGTGAGGCATTTGCATAAGAGAAGGATTGAGCACTGAAGGACTTAAGTCTGTATTTTGGTACAGACAAGAGAAGTTGGTGATTTGGTCGGAGATTTCTGGTAGGAGAAACATCACTTGGAGGTAGGCAGGGCCAGTGTTATTAAGAGACTGCTTCTCTAATGGAGAGAGATGCAGGCGTGATTATGCTGAGAGAATATTATTGGCTGAGTTTATAAATTATGTAATTACCACATAAAAACTATTTTTGTGACTTCCAATTATCTGTATTGGTTATCTTATTTTTTAGGAATATTCATACTTTTTATATATAATTCGATATGTTAATTTTGAATTGCGTCTGTGTATACACGTGAAGATATTTTGCTATTTCCAGGTAAAAAAAAACATTTTAAAAATATTTGTAGGGGGAGCAGTTTTATTGGCTCGGTCCAAACATTGTTGACTAGTTGACTAGTATAGATAAATTATATTGAGCTTATGATGAAACTCGGGAACTACAAAACAGTTTGTCTCAGATTTAGGAGAAAAGGCGTATTGCGTTTTTAATGTTTAGCTGTGCGTTCGGTTCTAAATTCAATTTAGCACGGATAAGTCTACAGATAAGCTAGCCCTCAATTGAAAACACAGTACGTTTATATCCATTCTACCATGATATAATATATACTTGAGTTCGCGAAGATATGGAGAGAAGTTGCATGCGTTTCGTTAATTGTGATTTCTTTTGACTATCGATAAGGTTAGTCGCTTTTATTTATTTGAATGGGTTGTAGATTTCAATTTTGGGAACAGCGATACTACCCTTTAAAGAAATAGTGGCACTTCACTGGTGCTTGAACAATTTTTGGACAACAATACGCTTCATCCGCATGTATAACAGGAAAGAAAGCGTACGGCACAGCTACTTTATAAGCCAACTCTCATGCTGCGCGTTCGGTTTCAAATTCAATTTAGCGGTTATAAAACTACAGGTAATACACGCAACACTGAATCTCAGAGAGTTTATGTTCAAGTTGTTCAAGGGGAATAAATATGTTGTTCTAACAGGCTCCATGTTGGAAACACTACCACTCACAAGAGGCGACTAACGGGATCGGGTTATCAGTTTCTCTGACTTAGTTGATGCAGGTCATCGTTTCCCAATTGCGTAGATCGATGCTCATGATATCGATCCCTAAATTGTCTGGTCAAGACCTCCTTTATATAGCTGGAATAATGTAATGGATGTAACTCATGTAAACTGCCGGGCAAAAGAAAGCATACACCCATGTTTGATGGAGGCCTATATGAAACAAACAAGAAATGATTATCAGATGGTGATGTATTTCATATGTGCACCATACTTGTGTTTTGGACTTTAAGTATAATTATTTTCGGCGACTGTACATTTTGATAACGATGTAATATTTTTTTGTCAAGTCAAATTTTCATGTGTACACTTCTTTTGTTTGCCCGGCACTATGGCTATACCTGTCCCGAATTGAAGTAGAATCTTGTATGAATTATATCCGGGACATAAAGGGCAAACGTAACGTGAGCATACGATTTTCTGGATAACTAAAACATTACCGAATGACCAGTCTTCTTTTGACAGAACAAAAGCATGTTAGATTAAAATAATAATAAGTGCATTTATAATGCGCCAGATTCCATTCACCGAGTGGATGCTCATAGCGCTACACTATTATTACCCCGGTCAATGGATCAGTGAGCACTCGATTTTCATGAATTAATGCCATAGATTAATGCCCTTCCTGATCTCACTGGGGTGAGAGAGTCACATCTTACATGTTATTTCCACTGTTGTACATCTCTAATTGGAAATGCAGATGTCAAATTTCACTATAACTTCTGTAAATATCA